CTAAGATTTTTAAAACTTAAGTACGTTCGGTGTAATTTGAGACTGAGTCAAGTTTTCTTATTTCTAGGCGTAAAGGAGTATTATTTGAGACTGAGACAGATATAAGATAAGTTAACAATTAAGCCAGAGTTAAGTACATCTACTAAGCACACCTCCAACCCAGCAATTAAGTTATCAATCATTTAAATATAAACTTATAGAATGTGTTAAAACTTTTAACTTTTAACTTGAGCAATGCATCGGCACTCGCTACGACCTTACAGAAAACCGACGTGAAACAACGCTTGCGTTGTGTTTCGTCGTGTGAGTGAGGTTACCGGAGGCCCAATTACAAAAAACGTATTGTAGGTATGTATATTTCTATAAACAACACATGTATAACCGGATACTACCGGATATTCTTAAACTCATGATGCACTCACAGATAGACATATACTTATCATTTTACGAATTTCTATCAAAAATCCAAAACAACGATATGATCAAAATAATACGCACTTGAAATCTATTTGCAGGATTTAGTGAGTCAGCATATACAGGGTGACTCATTTATTATGTATTATGTCCATTGTAAATGAGTCAGAATCTTATCTTGTTAACACGGACGTACTTTTATCACGTAATATATACCTACATGTAGGGCACTTAATCCAGATACTGTCCACTTAATCACATTAAATATAATATGTATTATTTTGAAAACAATACAAGTTTTTATTTATCAATAATTAACTAAAATGTTTATCACGGTGGCCCGGAGGTTAAGACACCCGCTTCTCATGCATGAGGATATAGGTTCGAAACCTACCAACGGCAAGTAAAGTCACATTGTGACTTTACCGAGTTATATGTACTTTCTAAGATTATTTGGACACCACTGACTAACGGCGAAAGTTTGAAATCGCCAACCCGCGTTGAGCAAGCGTGGTGATTAATGCTCAAACCTTCTCCGTGTGAGAAGAGACTTTGCTCAGCAGTGGGCATTTATAGGCTGTTGATGATGAACTAAAAATGACGCTTTACTCACGTAAATGTACTGATAAAAGCTCTACTAGTTTCGAGTCACAGAGGGACTTTCCCTCATGAGTAGCGTGCGTAGTCCCGCGATGTCGTGCAGCCTGCTCGCCGCGACCGCGCAACCGCATTTTTAACCGACTTCAAAAATAATAAAAGGAGGGTCTCAGATTGATGTGCATAATGTGTATTTGTTGACTCAATTTGAACCATGGAAAGATAATCTATCGAGCACTGCGTTAAATATATTCAGGCTTATTATGAAAACGGGCGTCCAAATCAAAATGTATTTCGTGATTGATTATATTAAAACTTTCGTGAGTCGTACTGATTAATTATTATGTTTTCGACTTACTCACATTGGTAATTGTTTGACGAAAAACTCGACTAGGTTTAAGCCATGTTGGAGGCTCATATTCATGAGCAGCATTACTGAGGTAGGAGCAGTGCGACAGTCGCAGCGTCGCGAGTCATAGAATTGTAGGAGTTTTTAGGAGTTGTCAAAATGCTCGTGCATATTCGTACTGCAAAAAATATTGCTGTTGTTCACGATTGTGTGGTTGAAGAGCCGTCGTCCTCAACTCATCGTCGTGCATTGCATCTCTTGAACTCGACTTTGATGTAAATTATGCATAAAGACTTGCATTTACATTTGAAAAAAAAGGTGTATGTCGATAGGTCAGCAACAATTCAAGAACTAGTGAGATAATTTGACATATTAACGACATAGAACCTCAATTATGCTTCAGCGTCATCGAAAATTTGGACCATCGACCGTGTGACGAATGAACGGCCAATAGGCTAAGAGGCTAATAGGCTAGACCTGGCTAAACGGCTAATGGCTAACACATCAGCGGGCACGCCCGTTAACCAATCCGACAACCAGACCTGATGTGTAATGCGATCCGAATACATCAGACTGGCTTCCAAAATCCAATTGATTTTGTAAGCATTATCAAAATATACACTCTAACAATTTACGGCACTCTAAAATCGAAATGAAACGTTAAACGCTTAATGCCGCTATAGACCTAGCTATAATATATATTTATAATATAGCTAGCTGACCCAACCTGCAGCTATACTATCAAATTTATTACTTAATTCTGTATGTCTCACGACAGTTATTATATCAATTACTTTTATTTTTTTTTGCTCCGTTGCCCCACACTAGGATTGTCTCCTGTGTCGTGGGTGCGTTTACAAACATACACATCACACCCAGACCTGCAACAAGTCGCGGAGAACCTAACGGGTAACCGGGGCTCCGGCTCGACGTGCAGGAGAAGGAACGGGGTGGTTTTTAGTCAGTAAGAGTCTGACACTCCCTCCCGCCTCACCCAGGCGGGAGCAGTCATTCGATGATTTTCCCCCCTTAAAAAAAAAAAGACCTGCAACAACAATTTGCAACAACCGTGCAGTCAATGTTAAATACTGTTCATGAAAAAATTCCGAAGTTAAATCAATATTTCTTAACCGACTTCAAGAAAGAAGGAGAACTGAACCGTACCGATTTTGAATTTTTGCGGTTGTCAGAAAAGTGTTTGTAGGAAAAGGAAGGAAAAGGAGTATATTAATAAATCGACCTCAAAATTAAAGTGGGTTGAAGACAGTTTTTTTTAAACGTAGTTAATAAAAGAATTATTTGTTGTTGTAGTTTAATATTTTTGATTTGCTACAGGATTATGGGGTTTTAGAATGGTTTTTTTTATTAGGGATTACTAATTTAGGTCAAGTTTGGTTAATTCATGAACCGAAATATTGATATAGATGTTACATAACTAAGATAAACGATCATACTTCGTACTCAGTTACTCATAGGCTGTAATAATTTTAGTTGCACTTAACTGACTTGCAATAAACATCACAAACGTTATAACACAAAACTATGAGTGTTTGGAGTTAGTGATCCATGACTTGTTCTACTTGATTTTATAAAGGAGAACTTAAAAATATCAGCCCATTAAACTGGATACCTATAGGTATATTTAACAAGCTTTAATCTAACAAAGTTATATTAAAGCTTGTTAATATATGTATGTGAAGTGAATCTTGCAATTAAATTTTGAAGAAGATATCATCAACCGATTGAGCTGAAATTTTGTCTACTCTTTTAGTTTGCATGACCATAAATGCCAAGCAGCATCAAAACTTATATTTCAAAAGTTTTTAATATAAATTAATATCTTATTCAAATGACTTACTATAAGTCAAAAATATTCAATCAACAAACGATGTAAAAAAGGTATTTCTGGTGATTGTCGAAAGTATGTTAAATAATATAAAAATCACTACATAGTATAAAACAAAGTCGCTATCTGCCGTCTGTCTGTCCCTATATATGCTTAGATCTTTAAAGCACCGCAACGGATTTTGATGCCGTTTTTTTAATAGATAGAATGATTCTTAGAGTGGTTTACATGTATTTTACATGCATATTGCACCCGTGCGAAGCCGGGGTGGGGCGCTGTAAGTATATATTATAATTATTATTAGATAAATAAAACTGTGTATTAAGAAATATTTATGTATTGGAATACCTGTCTATAGTGCAAACTGATTACGTGAATACATGGGAACTATTGACTGGAGGCGTGTCCTATATCTGATAAAAACAACACTATGAATAATCTCTTATCTATATACGTATTAAAAATTTAATTTTGTTTGACATTCATATAAGGTTAATATTAAATGGATGACTGTAAATGGATGGCTTTTCCAACAATAGTTTTATTAGCGAATGCTATCAAATCACATCCACTATGGCTGTGAATGTCTCGATTTTTTTTCCTATAAATAATGTCTATTGTTTAAAAGACAAAAATATTAATTCAATTGGCACCAAAGTAGCTGTCAAAAATGAAATGTCCAATGAAAAAAGTCAGCAATAGTTTATTTGACAAGATATCTCTCATTACACTAGTGATTCTGGTCGTAAGCTCACTTGTGATAGCTCTGATTTGGTTCAGAAATTCGGGAGTTACGCGCGTTCATACATTTGGTGTTTAATTTTATTTCATAACATAATATCTATTTTTATAATAGCTATCGTCAGACATACTAAATTAATTAAAATAACGGGTTACTCACGTGAATCTACTGACCCCTCTGTGGTTCGAAACTAGTAGAGCTTTTCTCAGTATATTCGCGTGAGTAACCCGTGATTTTAATTAATATAATATCTATTGTGAAATTATTCATCATCATCAACAGCTCAAAGACGTCCACTGCTGGACAAAAGCCTCCCCCTTGGTCCTCCACGTCGAACGACAACTCGCCACTTGCATCCACTGGCTCCCCGCAATTTTGGCGATGTCGTCGGTCCACCTAGCGGGTGGCCTGCCCACGCTTCTTCTTTCGGTCCGTGGTCTCCACTCAAGGACTTTCCCGGCCCATCTGCCGTCAGTCTGTCGAGCGACGTGGCCTGCACATTGCCACTTCAGTCTGCAGATTTTGCGAGTTATTTCGGTAACTCCAGTTCTTTCGCGAATTTCCATATTTCGGATTTTGTCGCGCAAAGAAACCCCTAGTATAGTTCTCTCTATCTGCGCTGAGCGACTTTGAGCTTCTCCAGAAGGCTAGAGGTCAGGGATCACGTTTCGGTACCATACGTCATAACCTGCAACACACACTGATTAAACATCCTGATCTTCAGGCACTGGGGGATTTTCGATGAGAAGATTTCGCGTAACTTTCCGAACGCTGCCCATTCGAGTTTGATTCTTCGGGCAACCTCTTTGTCGAAGTTGGACCTACCTGCCGAATAATCTGCCCAAAGTATGTGTATTGGTTAAATTATTGTTACATTATGAATTATCTATAATCTAATTTTTGATATTATATGCTTTTGTTAGAGGACAAATTGACTAATTTGGTATTGTACAGGGAAAACAATATTTTTAATAGTTTTCCTAAATAATGATAAACTCGGTATTAGTGCCGATATTTGGTCAGTGTTCGACGACATTTTGTTAAGTATAAATCGGTGCAAGTCCAGTACTATCTTTAGCGTTAAGCACAAACAAAGTTACAGTGAATTTGGTGATAAAATAGAATAAAAATAATAATAATATGAATTCCAAGGAAATGCTCGAAGACCAGGAATTATTGTTTGACCGTAAGTACAATATTTTATATGACATTACCATTTGTAACTTAGAAAACTGTCCAATCCTACCAGTTATTTGATCGTTAGTTTATATTTATACTTATTATTATCTCATAATGTTAAAGGAGCTATTGTTTTCGTGGATTTTATGAACAGGCTCGTCTAGTCATGCAAGTACTTGAATCATTTCACGTGCTTACACGACGGCCATAGTTAATGGTTTTTGTATATTTTTTAAAACTTTGCCCCACACTAGGCTGATTTTTTTTTCCTGTGTCCTGGGTGCGTTCACAGATATACAAGTTCCTATACACATGAGACCCAGACCCGGAACTACAATCTGTGGATCACACAAATAGTTGTTCCGTGCGGGATTCGAATCACCGCACTATCCGTGCAGTCAGTCAAAGTATTGTAACGCCTTTTGTAAGTATGTATCTATTGTCATTGTCATTTTGACTGATAAAGACAGCCAATTATGGCGTAATCTAACTTTAAAAAGAATGTAATGTATTTATGTATTTCTATCTGGTGTATCGCTGTGTTTAGCAAGTCTTTAATAACTTATATTTCACAGTTGGATTAGGTGCACTTACGTAGGTATTTTACGTAGGTTCTGTCACTATAAATTCTTTGTAAAATGACAGAGATGGCACGATATTTATTTACAACTTTAAATTGAGTAGTCTTTCAGTGTGCTGCCGGACTATGACGATCCTCTATAAAACAGGGATGTGCTGTAATCGCCACGCTTCGGAGGGGTCCGGTTTATCAGAGAGTGCTGCTAAACTGCTGGTTTTAGTTAAATATATCGTCCCGTAATCGGCTCTTATGAAACCCCCACGAAGAGTAGGCCGATATATTCGGTCTGTCGTCATCACATGTAAACTTTTTACTACTCAAACAAGTATCTACCATAGAAGGTAAAGGCATAACTTTACCTTTTTGCCTCGTTTGCGGCCGAGTGGTCGCAAATACGACTGCCGGGCAAGGGGTCTCCGGTACGATTCCCGGATCGTGCAAAGTACTGCTAGGTTAGGTAAAAAAATCATAGTAGTAGCACTAAGTCTAGAATTGAGCTCGGTATGTGGCAATAGGCTCACACCCTATTACATGGGACTGATAACATACATACTGAAAAGTGGGTGTTACATTGTACAGTGGCAGTAAGTGCCGTACCATGCACCTTTGCGTTCCCCGTTGGGGACAAAAGGCGTGTTCTTAATTATTATTATTTTAATTATTTAATTTATTTATCATTTCTATTACAGCTAAGGGTTTGGGTACACCACCACCATACACAGAGTTTGCTACACCTTCAGCTCCAGTTGCCCAGACAGTGCCGGTTGCAGTGCCAGCACCCGATCCAGTAATAGTCCAACAGCCACAAGTCAATGCTATTCCGACCTCAGCGTCTATACCTGACAAAATTGGACCTGAGGCAGAGTGTATGATCTGCAAGTCCTGCAACAAACAGATCTACACAAGAGTTGAATACAAACCAACTACTAATACCTATTTGATTGCTGGTATATGTTGCTTGTTGCTGTAAGTATCTTTTTATATATTTTTCTCCTCTATTTGATCGAACTGGATACCTACAGTTCATTTTATCTGATTGTTTTGAATTTCTAGCCTTAAATATTAAAATATGAGTAAAGTTATCTTGGTTTGGTCAGGGATTAGCTCTTCTATTCAGTATTATTTATTTTGATCAGCCAGAATTTTTCGGTGTTAGGTTTTGCAAACTCTTACTTTTAATAAAATTGAAACATTCTGGCAAATATGCAAGTCTTGCTCATTTTCATGAATATCTTAATCAATATTTTTCTTAACTGTTATAGGCTGCCTCGTTGGCCGAGTGGTCGCAAGTGCGACTGCCGGGCAAGGGGTCTGGGGTTCGATTCCCGGGTCGGGCAAAGTATTATTGGGTTTTTAAAAATCTCAGTAGTAGTATGGAGTCAGGAAATGTGCCTGGTATATGGCTATAGGCTCACCCCCTATTACATGGGACTCATAACATAAATAGTGAAAAGTGGGTGTTACATTGTACAGTGGCGTTAAGTGTCGTATGTGCACTCTGCCTACCCCTTTGAGGATAAAAAGGCGTGATGTTATGTTGAATGTTGTTGTTATAGACAATTACCTATCATTTATCATAATAATCTAATCATAGGTCTTCTCTATATACATAGGTGCTGGCCTTGTGCGTGCTACTTATACCGTTCACCACTCTGTCGGAGTATAGACCACTACTGTCCAAACTGCGACATCTACATTGGAACGTGTCGATTGATATAGGTACACCCATTAGCATTTAAAATTTGTAAAATATATCGAAAAAATGGAATACTATTTGGTTTTGGTAATCAAATCGTAAGAACGGCGCAATATGGCTCAGACAAATGATTTGATTAAACGATAATTGGACGATGCAAGTTCCATCATCAGCGAATGAGAGTCGATGAGTCTTTTAGTCGATTAAGATCTGTTATTATCGACTGCAACTGTGATAAATAAAGAATGGGTGTATAATAAATAATGGTGTGTTTTATTTTATTTATTGATATAAAATGGTAAGCGTTGAACCAGACCGTTTGATAGGCAACGAGGGAGTCCTATGTTGAGCAATGCATTACTTTGCTTGATATGATGAAGAATCGTTTGATTACTACGTATAATAAACAAAAACATAACAAGAATATAGGTCAAGTGACTCTATTTCCTCAATTGCAAAATTGTAAATATTGTATAAAAACATTTTTTTTATAGCATAAGCCGGTAAACGAGCAGACGGATCATGTGATGGTAAGCAAACACCAAGGCGTTACAAGTGCGTTACCGGCCTTTTGGGAATTGGGTATTTGAGGATTGTGGAGGAGTCGGGGATTCGGTGATTCGGGAGACGGGGACTAGGGAGGGGGGTAATTGGGCCTCCGGCAACCTCAATCACACGACGAAACACAACGCAAGTGTTGTTTTACGTCGGTTTTCTGTGAGGCTCACTCTGGTCGAGCCGGCCCATTCGTGTGGAAGCATGGCTCTCCCACACTTACATGTTAGACAAGTGTCATAACTTATTATTTGATGGGGAAAATCGTCTAGTTTCTTTTCCATGTAGATGCATGCATGTAGGTATATTTAACAAGCTTTATTTTGCAATGTATGTGTGAAGTGGAATCTTGCTACATACTAAATTTTGAAGCTGATACCTTAAACCGATTGAACTCAAATTTTGTGATAAATGCCAAGTTGCATCAAAGCTTGTATTTAAAAAGTTTTTGTCGTCCGACATGTTGACATGACCAGCCCAGTTCCACTTTAAGCTTGTCGCTATATAATCAAAGTTAGCGATTTGAGTTTTGGAGCGCAGTATGATAGTACTGTAAAGGGAAAGCAATTGTTTTTAATAGGTTTTCCTAAATATTGATAAACTCGGCATTAGTATCGATATCTGTTTAGCGTTCGACGACATCTTATCAAGTATAAATCGAGTGTTCATCGATACGAGTCCAGTACTATATTTAGCGTTGAGCGCAAACAAAGTTACAGTGAATTTGGTGATAAAAGAGAATAAAAAAATAATAATATGAATTCCAACGAAATTCTCGAAAACCAGGAACAATTGTACGACCGTAAGTACAATATTTTGTATGTCATTAACAGTCAACGAGTGATATAACTTAGAAAGTTGTCCAATCTTATCAATAATTTGATCGTCAATTTTAGACTTTTCCTTTTTATCATTGTTTTTCCATCCTTGACTTTGCATTGCATAATTCTTAATTTATATTTTTCTCCCACAATGTTAAAGGAGTATTTGTTTCGTGAATTTTTATTAACAGGTTCATCTAATCATATAAGTGAATCATATCGTACACGTGCGTACGGCAGCCATAATGCTTTTTGGATTGTGACGTCTATTGTAATTACCTATTGTCATTTCTGACAGATAATCATGACGTAATTTAACTTTTAAAAGAACGAAATGTATCTTGTGTATGACTGTATATAGCAAGCCTATAATAACTTATATTCGACTACTGGACTTACGTTACTCAATTTTAACTCGTTGAGTGAGTACTGTCATTATAGACACAATTATAGAACAATAGGTTGCGGTCACCGGTGACCGCTTGGTGTTTCACAGTTTAAGTCGCGCTTAGGTATAGTTCTGTTACTACAAATTCTTTGTAAAATGACAGAGATAGCACGATATTTATGTACAACTTAAACTTAAGTAGCCATTCAGTATTCAGGCGTATGGCTGAGAATATATACTGCTCGACTACGAGCCCCCTCAACAAAAGAGGGGGTCAGTATAGTCTCTATGCTTGGGAGAGGTCCGGTTTATCAGAGAGTGCTGCTAAACGGTTTTAGTTAAATATATGTCCTGTAATCGGCTCTTATAAAAACCTCAGGAAGAGTAGAGGTGACCAATGTAGTGTGTTACCGTTTTTGTTATGGAATAAGCCGGTAAACAAGCAGACGGATCACCTGATGGTAAGCAATTGGCGTCGCCCGTAGACACCTGGAACACTAGAGACTTTTGGAATCAGGAATTTGAGGATTGTTGATTCGGGGACTGGGAAAGGGTGGGGAGGGGGAATTAGGCTTCCCGTATCCTCACTCACGCGACGAAACTCAACGAAAGCCTTGTTTCACGTCGGTCTTCTGTGAGCCCGTGGTATCACTTCGGTCGAGCCGGCCCATTCGTGCCGAAGGATGGCTCTCCCACACTTAGAAACTTGTAAAGTATTAATTCACTTATCATATCTATTACAGCTAAGGGTTTGGGTAGGCCACCACCATACACAGAGTTTGCCACACCTCCACCTCCAGTGGCCCAGCCAGGACCCGTTGCAGTGACAGCACCCGTTCCAGTAATAATCCAACAGTCACAAGTCAGCCCAATTCCGATCTCAGTGTCAATACCTGACAATGTTGGACCAGAGGCAGTGTCCATGATCTGCAAGTCCTGCAACAAACAGATCTACACAAGAGTTGAATATAAACCAACTACTAATACCTATTTGATTGCTGGTCTATGTTGCTTGTTGCTGTAAGTATCTTTGTACTTATTTATTTTTCTTCTGCATCGCTGTCGTTTGAGTTTCTAGCCTTAACTATTAAAATATGAGTGAAGTCAAGTTACATATCTTGGTTTGGCTCTTATACTCAGTAGTTTTTCTTTTATCAGCCAGATTTTTTCTGTTTTAGTTAAAATATAAGCGATTCATACTTTCACATGAATATCTTTATCAATATTTTTCTAATCATTGCTCTTCTCTTCATAGATGCTGGCCTTGTGCGTGCTGCGTATACTGTTCAGCAAGCTGTCGAAACATAGACCACTACTGTCCAAACTGCGACACCTACATTGGTACCTACACCCATTAGTACTACAAATTTGATAAAGGAATCCTTTATCGAAAAAAATGGAAAAAACAATTTGGTTTTGGTAATCAAATCGTAAGAACGGGGCAATAGGGCTCAGGTACTTACAAATGATTTGATTGAACGATGATTGGACAATGCACGTTCCACCGTCAGCGAATGAGAATCGATAATTCTTTTAATCGATTAAGATTTGTTATTATCGACTGCAACTGTGATAAATAAAGAATGAGTGTTTAATAAATAATGATGTGTTTTATTTTATTTATTGATTTAAAATGGTAAGCTTTCAACCAGACGGTTTGATAGTCAATAAAGGAGTCGACTTTTAAGCAATGCATGACTTTGCTTGATATGATGATGAACCGTTTGCTCTCTACATATACATATAATATACGAAAATCTAATTAGAAAATAGAGAAAGTGACTATTTTTACGATTGCAAAATTGAATACCAGAAGTGTAATAACTTTTTGTCGAGAAGGAGAATTATCCAGTGTTTTTCCCGTTTTGGGTGAAGCGAGAACCGAAAACCTCCTCGTTCTGCTTTGAGCTAGAGTCCAAGTAACTCGTTTAGGTTGTCTGCAGCTCCGTAGTGTCATAACATCTTGGAAAAACCCTACACTGTACGGTTGGTGCGGTGGCTGGGCAACCGGCTGCCGTGCAACGTGTTGCGTATATGATTCCCGTACACACACTTTGTGTGATCCACAAATTGTCGTTTCGGGTGTGATGTGTATTTGAACTTGTATGTTTGTAAACGCACCCACGACACAGGAGAAAATCGATTTGATAATTGAGCTAAATATTTATATGTACCAATAGTTTTTACAGTAAGTTAATAATTATATATTATATAGACGGGGAAAAACATAATTTATGTGGAAACGTACTAACACGTTTCCATTAAAATTGATTATTATTAGTAAACTGTTAAATGACAATGATAGTAATACTAAGCAGGGAGTTAAAATATTTATTGTTAATACTAATTATATATTTTCTGCCAATGACTGTGTCGTTTGGTGGAGTGCTCACATTGCAAGAACTCTTGGAATTGATTCTTGGACCAAGCAAAGTACTATTGGGTGTTTTTGAAGGTTTAAAGAACTGTGTCGAGCATTTGACCGTAGCTTCCTTCCGAGTACGACTCATATAGCATCGACTTCAATTATATTGTGTATCTGTACCTCTGCCTATCCCCTTAAGAGATTGTTAGGTGTGAAGTTATGTCATGTTACTATAGGTATAAGGAAACAACACCAAAAAACTGTTGTTATCTTAGGTACCCCGCCGCCGCAGATTATATTATATATCACCGTGCTTAGATACGCCCGCCCATAATGTATTGTTCGACAAAAGGTAAATGTAATGCGTTCGTATATATACTAAGAAAAAAAACAAAATTAATGTCCCAATACTCAAACGCTACTCAATTTATCAATTATAAATTCTTTGGAAAATGACAGAGATGGAATGAGGTCGGGGGTCAGTCATCAAGCCTGCCTACTGCCTAATCTAGTTCAATTATATATATCAAGTACTAGAATAATAACTGCCTCGTTCACCGAGTGAAAATATCGTGCCCAATCCAGCCGTCGTGAAAGACACTCCAGGCGTCGGGATCGCGAGACGATATCCGGTCATCGTAAGCACGGGCCTGCGGACGGCGAGCATGGGTGGCTCGCCGTCTCGATCAGAACCAGACTCGAGCGTACGGCGCGTTGCGTTCCGCGCGCGCCTCAAAGAGCCATCAGACCACCACGAATGGGGCCCAATAGGGCTGATACCGATACGGAGCCGCGGAGAACTTAACGGGTAACCGGGGCTCCGACTCGAAGTGCAGGAGTGGTTTTTAGTCAGTAAGAGTCTGACACTCCCTACCGCCTCACCCAGGCGGGAGAAGTCATTTGATAATTTCCCCCCTTAAAAAAATCTCTGTCATTTGACAAAGAATTTGTAGTGACAGAACTATACCTACTTAAGGGCTACACAAAATTGATTAGCGTTTTAGTATTTGGGCAATAAGAACATTAAGTAATTAATAGAGGAATGTTGTCTTTATCTTGCAAATGTTTTCTGAAAATAAAAGATTAAACCAAACCTACCAATAGGTGCGCACATTTTTTATCAATTATCTTATTAGTTTGATAACTCACGTGACCACAGTCATAACCGAAAATTAACGAAAGGAGGTGTAAAACAATTAGATTAAAACTCAAAAAGCCTTTATTTCAATTACAACCATAATTTTGTACTTTTGAAACGTCAACAAATACACAATAAATAATAGGCCTTTTTTATGGGATAAACCGGTACACGATGGATCACCTGATGGTAAGCAATCGGCGTCACCCATGGACACTTGCAACACCAGAGGCATTATAAGCGCGTTACCGGCCTTTTGGGATTAGGAATTTGAGGATTATTGGGATTCACGGAATAGGGAGAGGGAGGGGGGTAATTGGGCCTCCGGTAACCTCACTCATACGACGAAACACGACGTTTCTACGTAAGATTGTTTTTCTGTGTGCAAAACGCTTCACCACTTACTTCGCCTTCAAGTAAGGAATTTTCGTGCATTTTTTTGTAAATCACAAACTGGGTGAGAATTTCAAATATTACCACTGTTAAGGCACGTGTTTTTTCAACAAGTCTGTTATCTAACACGCAATGTAAACTACATGAAGAGATAAGAAGGATGTCCAGTCAATATTTACATGGGTACTTACCTTATGTAAATACCCCTAGTTTACATATTTTTTTGAGTTCTCTGTTTAAAAATGTTCGATGCTTGTAACCGTTTCTTGGCTGATTCAGAATCATAACATGGGATGATTTGATTACACGATTGCCGCGATGGCTGGGGAACTTGTAGCGGGTTCGATTTCCGCTCGGAGCAACTCTTTGTGTGATCCACAATCCACAAGTTGTTTCGGGTCTAGATGTCATGTGTATGTGAACTTTTATGCTTATAAACGTACCTACGATACAGGAGGAATCCTGGTATGGGGCAACGTTTAAAAATATTCATTTAATTTGAACGTATTATTATGCAAAGTATGAAGGTGGACTCAGTGCTTACATTCTCTGCGTTTGGATAGTGCAGAGATGTACCTATATGTCCTACATGTAGGAGGTAAGCTGTATAACATTTGTTGCTTTTAGCCAGTTGTGTTATTAATATTCTATTTTATTTGTCATGGTGGCCCGAAGGTTGAGCCGCCCGCTTTTCATACATGAGGGTGCGGGTTCGAAACCTACCAACGGCAAGTACTAATGTAACTTTTTCCGAGTTATATGTACTTTCTAAGATCATTCAGATACCATTGACAAAAAGCCAAAGGTAAAGGAAACCATCTTGAGGAAACTTGGGCTTATAATTTCTAATTATAAGTTGGAAATCGCCAACCTGCATTGAACAAGCGTGGTGATTAATGTTTAAACCTTCTCCGTGTGAGACGAGGCTTTTCTCAGCAGTGGGCATTTATAGGCTGTTGATGATGATGTGATGATTCTATTTTAATTAGTTGCGAACCCATCATTGTACCATGATCGATGAATCAAGTGTGTTATAGCCTTACAACACGATTTTTTAAAATAAATCAATTCGCAATGAAATAAAAGAGTATCTAGTACCATTAAAACAAAAAACAAACCTAAATCGAGGATGTGAAAAAACAAGGAAAAATTTTAAAACTCACACCGAGAATTACAAACGAATAATTTTTTATCAGTCACGGTTATTGAACCTATTTTTTCCTTAACTTCCGAATTATCACATGTCTATACCTGTTGGAATTAAAATATCATTTATTTATAAAGATTGAATCATTTGGCGATTAGCGCTTATCAAAATAATAAAATTGATATCATAAAAGGACCCATAGTATGGGTTTTGCAAAAATATATCTCTTTGACCTTAATTATGTTTTTCTTTTACCTATTGTACTTATATATTGTATTTTAAGGGTTTCCCCAAAAGGGAAAGAATGATAATTTTGATAATTAATATTTGACGTGTCCTAGGTGTGAATCATGATATCATGTAAGTATGTATGTCCCTATCAAAAGTGTTGAGCTTAAAATTGATAAAACTGCTTATCTGAATCCGGTATCTGAATTCGCTGTTTATTTTATCTATAAATCGACGCTTTGCCGATCACAGTTCAGTACAATCAATCCCCTTGGATACTAACCTAGTCTAAGGTGGTAATTTGTGTAAAAAAAGTCAATTTAAAATAAAGTGCCAATATGAGTACCGACGAACTCCCACGTAAGTGCTTAATTTTATTTATCGACGATTTTTTTATTGATTTTGTGTTTAGAAGTAAATCCCGGATTACGCGGATTTTCCGTGATTTAATCTGGTCTAATTACTAATAGAGATTTGGGTAAATATAACCAAATGTGCTCGTTATGAATATCCATAATTTCGTATTTAATTCTTTTGTGTAAAACATCTCTTAAAAATATTGTTCTCAATCAAGATTCGAAAGAAATACAGCATTGCCTAGTTTTAACCTGATAGTAGGAACTGTGTTATTTTTAATAAATTAAAATCAATGTCCAATTAGTATTGATTTGTTCATAAAGGTGTTTGCCAACAGTACACGCGCCCATTTTTTGTGAGTTATGTGACTACTTCTAATCTCTAAAGGGCGTGACCAATGCCAAAGCTACCATCGACAAATACTGAACAAATATTTTTATGAATCTGGAATTAAAATGTGTTTTTGAAAATATATTTTGTTTTGAGATAAATTACTAGCATTTCTATTAAATTGTTTTTACGGAAATCAACATGAATCAATCAATCAATCAATCAGCAATCAATCATATTATACTTATATGAAAAAAAAACCGACTGCCTCATTGGGCGAGTGATTGTAAGTGCAACTGACGGGCAAGGGGTCTCGGGTTCGATTCCCGGGTCAGGCAAAGTATTACTGGGTGTAAAAAAATCTCAGTAGTAGCACGGAGTCTAATCTTGTGCCAATATAATATGGCAAAAGGCTCACTCCCTATTACATGGGACTCATAACATAAATGGTGAAAAGTGGGTGTTATATTGTACAGTGGCATAAAAGGCGTAATGTTATGTTGTGTTATGTTATGTTATGAGAAAAAGAAAATACTGTTCAATAGAAATATTTCCATATGAAATAAAGAGTTTGACAATTTACTAACAGTACCTACAAGTACCAGAGAAGAGATAACACTACTCGTATCTTTAATATCTAGCCTTCAGTTAAGTGATTTATACGTCCTTATTCTAAATCTAACTACTAAAGTGGTGTACCTAAAAAATAACGTCATGTATATATAATTAATATGTAAAATACCTACTGCATAATAGATACTGTAAATTGTTTAATATCATCATTAATCACAACAGTATAAAGATGAAATTTAATCATATCTACAATATAGGGGAACATAGTATTTATTCCAACATGTTGACAAGACATAGGCCCGAAGAGTAGTTTCTAAACTGTATCACTCAAAGGTTTAAATAAAACGGAATGTTTATAGCATTAAGTCCACCTACGAACAACAGAAGAATTAGATTAAAAATCTTATTATTTGCTTACAGAGAAAGGCCAGCCCCCACCATACGACGGCGAAGCTGAATCATCCAGAGACGCTGGAGTTAGATATCAAAGCGGTCCTGCTCAACCACAAATGGTTGTCCCAGTAGTCGTGTCCCATCCTATGGGACCCAAACCAACCCCATTCACCTGTCCATCTTGCAACCAACAGGTTGTCACCAGAGTAGAACATAAGTCCACAACAAAAACACATCTGTTCGCACTTCTGCTTTGTCTTATGTAAGTATTGTTTTTATTTACGTTTGTATCTTTTGACAAACTAGTTTTGAACCATAGACTTCCACTACATAAAACGATTTGCCACATTCTCCATTTTGTTGAACCTATTTGAGGCAGGTTGAAGATTAGACACGTGGATAAGTACTTACCTGCAGATAATTCTATAAGAATCAAATCGTTTATTTAATTTTAAACATTATGAATAGCAAAGTTAGGTTTATTTTTCTAGCTCGTCATAGTACTGTTAGGAGCCTTTATAAAACGTATATTTTATTATTTTCAGATGTTGCCCCTGTGTCTGCGTGCCCTACTGTGTGGACAGTTGCCAGAATGCTGACCACTACTGTCCAAACTGCAGCGCATACATTGGCAGCTACAACCATTAATTTAAAAGAAAATTTTGTATTGGTTTCTAACAAACAACTTAATGTTGAAGACAATGCGATAAGCGTTAACAAACGTAATCTTATCTCGTTGTTACTATTTTGCCAACATGACCTCATGTTCCAACAATTCATCGATTAGGTACTTTTCTATGGAAAACTATGATGAATTAATATATTTCGGCAATTTCTTTTGAATTTCCTCTTTAAAGTTAACGATAAACTATTGTATAGATATGATAAAATGATAATAATTTTAACATTATTATTCTTTCCTGTCGAGTTGATACTATATCAACGCCGTTTTCTCAATTACTGAGAAGATGGTTTAAAACTTTTCAAGGACACATGACATTACATTAAGCAATGTTGTTATGTGAACTAAAATGTATTATTTATTATGAAATTATGCATGAGATAATTTATGCGGGTAAGTTAAGTATATACCCGCATAAATAAAGGCCTATGGCTTCATGGGTGGAAGTCCCCAACTATTTTATAGGTCTGTACAAAAGTCTATGTGCTTTAACTACCTGTGTGTTAGTATTTAATATGTGTGTGTAATGTTCATATAATATTTTGTGTTTTTATTGTAATAAAACTATCTACATTTTAATACAAATAATAAGATTTATAACTTTAACATTTTGTTTTATTTGGTTGACCCTAACAATGGATGAATGATGTAATAAAATAACGTACTAAAATACAATGGAGAAAATAGCCATTCCTGTTTATAATTAATGTAATTGGAGTAAAGAATAATTTCGTCTCCTGGACCTCCAGAAGACTAGCTCACCACATTTTCCATGAAATAAAATTTTGCGTAAAAAATTAAAAATCAATAAAATAAACCATGTAAAGATATTTTTTGTTTTATAACATTAAAAAAATATATACAAAAGTGGCAAATAATAGTTATGCTTGTCAATGCTTGAAGTAGTTTTAATCAGTTTCGAAGTCAAATCGAATTATTATCGTTTACCACCAGCCGAGATTCCCATTTAGAGATGTTTGAGATTCAAAGTTAACCTACTCTAATCTGCAAAGTTTATTCATTGGATTTTTTACATTATATCAATACCATAAAGTTGGAATTTATATAAATAAATTTGTCGGAAAAGGATGGCTTGATCTGCTAGCGACTGTACATGCCTTTATCAAGACTGTGTTAAGATGTAAACAATGTTACCCTAGAATTCTGACTAAATAAGATATGTAAACGATAAAATTAATATTAAGTTTATAATCGCTGATTATTTCAAGATAATTTTGTGTGCGTTAATTTTAATGCTAATATTATGTTCTTTGATAGTCAATAATATTAAATGTATTTGTTTATTCTTTACTTAGTTTAACTAGTAAACCAAATTTGAAAATTTGTTAGATTTATTCACGCAATTATTTGACGAGGCGATTTATGAGTAGTATTACGAGACACACGACGTGGCAAATGATGCGCTGCTAAAACGTACCTTTATAGTTAGTTTTCATTTAATCAAAACCTTGAACTCCTCTAAGCTAGTTATTTGTAACCCTTAAAATAGTGGACAGAATCTACCGTAACGCTCGTCCGTGGACGACGAATTTCAGGGCGCGGCAAACCGTTGTTGGGTGGCTACATAGAAATGTGTCATTTAGGTAGGAAAATCTACAGTAATAAGGTCACACTTTATTTCATGAAGCTTATAATAAGTGAAAATTGGAAGTTACAGTCTTTTTCTACCCTCTGTCTACCCCTTTGGGAGTTAAAACGCATGTTTTATTATGCGTTTGCCAATAGGCCCATCCCCTATTACACGGGACTCATAACATAAATAGTGAAAAGTGGGTGTTACATTGTACAGAGGCATTAAGTGCTGTAATGTGCACCTCTGCCTATCGCATCGAGGATAAAAAGCGTGATGATAATATTATTTGTTATTACGTGATAAAAATAAAATAGATTCTCATGCAATTGTTTGTTATCTAATATTTGCAGTATTTACTTTGCATATGTGTTAGGTTACCGGTACACATGTACCCTGATCGAGGTCAATTTGTATAGTGATAAATTTATAATTATGTTAGAAAATGGGTGGCGACACTGACGACTATAATGGAGAATTAGTCAGCGCAGGCCACTCGCTACGAGCTGTAGTTTTTAGTGTTTTAATAATAGTAAACGACACTAGCGTAAACTCATTTAAGAATGCTACATCGTACTTGTCTATAAAGTTGAAATTTCAATACAATACAATTTGTAAATAAGTTATAAAATATCAAGTGTTAATAATTTTATTTGATTAAATAAATAATAAAGGGAAAAAAAGTATTTGATGATTAATGTTGTACCTGACGTCAAAAACATCTGAACAACTTCAGATAGATCTAGTTATTTAGTATCGTTATCTGTTTTCGGCGCTATTTTTAACTTGAATCAACTCATCGTATGAAGGAATTCAGTTGAGTAACGTACTTCGTTCGGACAACAGTGAAATAGTGTTGTATTTTATATTGTATTGTATAAGAAAATAAAATCAAAACAAGTGCAATAAAAATGAATACTGGAGAGTATAATGACCGTAAGTGTTTGTATATTTTTTTTAATGATGTAGTAGTGATACGACTGTGTCACAGCCTTTACAGAATTTTTTTTTTAAAGTTGCCTAACATTCGGCACTTTTTTCGTTCTATCTTCAAATATTCCAAAGAGGTTCATTATAACGATGCCTATATCTATTTTTCACCAACTAGTTTCCAAAAAATCACGTGTATTTACTAGAATTAATTCGCGGAAGCAACGCAAAAGTCAATGCCATACATTTTGATTAGCGGTGACGAAATAAAAAGGCGCGTCTAGACCTTCCAGGCGTAACAGATGTGAACAAAAAGTCGGTCTACCGGCGCCACAGACGCTCAAATATTGTGTTGTATAGATTATATATTTGGATATATTTTTTTTGTTTGCTTAGACGCGGTATTATATCTATAGTTTTACAACAAATGATGATTAGATATCAAACGTCAATCTTCGGGCACGTGATGTGTTTGTAGAGGTTGATATAAGTACATACCTATATCTGTTCCCTGATTGTCTTCTTTTAAGATTGTTGCATTGGATCACGTTTTGTTTTGATGATATCTTTGATGATAGAAAAAAAATGTTCGTCACGTAATGTGTTTTAATTTATTTTATTACACTCTCATTGCTAATTATGCTGCATCGCATGTTTTAATTTATTTTATTATATGGTCACAAGGTCGATTTTTTTTTAATAAATGTGTCCGCGTTTAACGTCTATGTCGCTTGGTGCTCAGTGTGCGACCTATAATGGTGCACGCTAACCCATAAGCGACTAATTCACTTTTTTCGAGTGGTTCTAAGCGATTTCAGGTTCGATTCCCGGCAAAATATCTGATGTCTAATATTTGTGCCCAGTGTATGGCAACAAATTCAACCCTACATGAGATTCACAACATAGATGAAGAAGTGTAGGTGTTAAATTGTGTATGCTCATCCCTTTATGGATGAGAAGGCCTTTTAATGTCATAAATCTTTGGGTCAGACAAAACTGTGACTACAAAATGTACTGTACATACTATATTTTATTTTACCAATTGGTTCCACGTCTATTATGTATTAATATGTCTTATTACTATGTGAGACCTATTGTTTAATTTGTTTATATGGTAAGTACGGTTCATTGTTATATGAGTCATATAGACAACGATAAAATTAATAAGGCGAGTTCATATACTTACTGGCCAAATTTCTAGGTTCAGTTGCGTCGTAATGAGACACCTAAACTACTTTCAATTGAATCTGGTGTACGTTCATACTACTATTTTACAAAAAGTCGATGTTAATAATTCTATTTCTACTAAAGTTATAAATGTACGGCGCGTCGAGTTCCGCGCGTGCCTCAAGGAGCCACCAGACCACCATAGATAGGGCCCAGCAGAACTGATGCTCATGCCGGGGCATCGGCTCGAAGTGCAGGAGTAGGAACAAGATGGTTTTTAGTCAGTAAGAGTCGTACACTCCCTTTCGCCTCAACCGGGCGGGAAAAGAGAGACACTGGACGATTTTATGAAAAAAAAACAAGAAAGATTATAAATGTGTTAAATAATATATACTAATAAATAATCATAAATGCAGTTTCATATTTTAAATGTATGGTTATATATATTACTGTATGTATAATGTTTGTTACTATTCACACAAAAACTACAGGTCAATTATGAATAAAATTGCGCAAAGAGAGTTTATATATAATTATAGTCTAGATTCACTCATAACGTAGATGTTTCTACTCTAGGAATGCGGACGAAACTGTTAACAGAAGCTAGTTAAGCCTTAGTCATGGTAAATTTAGGATTTTTTTTAGTATAAATCGAGCTATTAGTATTCTTGTCTCGTGTACATTGTTGAAACTCTGTTGGTATGTGAGCGGAAATGGTATATCGGTTTATCTGTGTAGCAAATATTGTACTATACAAAGGTTTGTAATAAAAATCATCGAAATTATCATAACATCATAACATCACGCCTTTTATCCCCGAAGGGGTAGGCAGAGGTGCACACAGAAGTAACACCCACTTTTCACTATTTATGTTACGAGTCCCATGTAGTAGGGGGTGAGTCTATTGCCATATACCGGGCACATTTCCAGACTCCGTGCTACTACTGAGATTTTTTTAAAAACCCAGTAATACTTTGCCCGACCCGGGAATCGAACCCGAGACCCCTTGCCCGGCAGCCGCACCACTCGGCCAACGAGGCAGTCTATATATATATCTCATCGAAATTACTATATATATATATCTATATATATAAAAGAAAGTCGTATTAGTTACACTACTTATAAGTCAAGAACGGCTACATCGATTTGGATGACAATTGGTCGGGAGGTAAATTAGAACTAGGAGACGGACAAAGGATACTTTTTCATCGAATATTTTTTTTTTATTATTTTTTTTTTCACCGAAAATCACGAACGGGGACGGGAAGAACAGGATTGCGCGTACGAAGTCGCGGGCTGAAGCTAGTATGTATGTATATATTCGGTTATCCAACATTTTATTTCATTTATCTGTGAAGCTCTAACTTTGGTCAAGCGTCCGTCTAATATGGTTTAGGCATTTCGTATCTACCTCTATTTATTTTATGTATTTTTATGCCCGACACGAATTGACCACAATATTCTTTTGCATAATTACTCACATTAACAACCAACTAAATCACGTAAACCAACAGCCAATACTTGGTCCATTTTAGTAATATAAATATTATTAGTAACCTATTTTTTTTTATTTCCAGCCAAGGGGCAGGGCATGCCACCACCGTACACAGACACACCTCAGTCTCCCCCCACAGCTCCTCTATACCCCCCTCTGCAGCCTGGAGGAATAGAACTCCAACAACAGCAACACCAACATGGACAGGCCACTGTAATCCCAGTTTTGGTGGGGACACGCCCAATGGGTCCCAAACCGAGTACATTGACCTGTCCATCGTGTAATGCTGAGATAACAACAAGAGTGCAGTATATGAGTTCTACTAAAACCCATCTGTTTGCTCTTGGACTTTGTTTATTGTAAGTAGTTTTTCTATTGTCTTTTTGCTCGTTTCAAAGTTAGTATCTATGTAACAACTTACAAGGTCATATTTAAATATAATATGATTTCATTATGCTGTGTTCAATTTCATAGGACTGCCTTGTTGGCCTAGTATTCGCAAGTGCGGGTGCCGAGCAAAGGGTCTCGGGTTCGATTCCTGGGTCGGGAAAAGTTTTATTTGATTTAAAAAAAATAGTAGTAGCACGGAGTCTGAAATTGTGCCCGGTATATGTCAGTAGGCTCACTCCCTATTACATGGGACTCAAAACATAAATAGTAAAAAGTGGGTGTTACATTGTACAGTGGCATTTAAGTGCCGTAATGTGCACCTCTGCCTACCCCTTCGGGGATAAGAGGCGTTATGTTATGTGATTTCATATTGCTACTTCAGAATCCTTCAGAAATTGTGGTGATTAACGATGTTTCTTTCTCTGGATAAGAGGAATGTTTTTGTTCAGTAAAGCAATGTTTACAGGTTGATGACTACCAAATTTATTTATTGTATATGCTAGCATTTTAATGAAGAACTTGTTCCCTCGAATGGGAAGTGGAGGACTTCGTAATCGTCCCCCATCCCATAACTCATATTGCTCCATGTTTAGGTGAAGTCCCACAGTAGACTCACAATAGACCACATGACACCAATTTGTTGACTTCATGTTCATCATTCGTCATTCATCACTCATCTTTCATCAGCAGTTAATCATGATTTTTCTCCTTTCCAGGTTCTGGCCCTGCGCATGCCTACCATACTGCATCGACAGCTGTCAAAATGCTGACCACTACTGTCCAAACTGCAATTCTTTCCTCGGCAGCTACAGCAACTAAAATCAACCCGAATATACATTATGATCTACCCTATCATTATATTAGTTATGGCTTACTCACGTAATTGTACGAGGTATTACGAGTAGTTTCAAGCCACACTTGGAGCTCATGGTTATGAGCAGCATTTGCGACGACTATATCACAATGATACAAGTTTTTAAATAGTGCCACCACAGTGCTATTAATTAAATATACATTATAAAATGTTATCCTTATGAATGTGGTATAAACATTTGTTCAATATATTACAAATGGTCCTGCAAGGTGACCTTTTAAATGCCAATTCTTAGTTTTTTATACAAAGTCTTGTCAGACGTATACCTACACTATGAATTCATGAATATCAATTAATACTATGAATACGTTTACTTTATTATAAAATGTAGGAAAGAAGGAAAATTCACAGAAACATACATACAATCATGGAATATTTTATGTTGAGGGACTGTGTCAATGTTAGTTATTATTTTTCTTTTAATACATTTTCATTGCATTTTCATTCATATGTATATATACTTTAAACTGAATATACTTTACGTAGCCAGATGGTTAAGAAGTGCCTTTTGCAGATAATATGAGATTGACGCTAAAGTCTAAAAGAACGTGTGATATATTCTAGTTTGTCTACGCCACCATCGCTAGCCTTGGCCTGTCTGCTTGAGACCTAAAAATAAATGAGAAGGTCGCCTGCAGATTTAAAAAGAATCACCTAGATTTAATCGTTGTGTAAATCAAAAGCTGAAATGCTACGAAACAAAATATAATGTGTACTGTAAAGAAGTTATTAGATATACTATAATTTCTTTAAAAAATCTGGTCACATAGATATAATAAATGGGACAAAGTGTGGTGTCGAGTTTGAAAGAATTCCTTATGTGATTTACCTTAAGGCACAATTTTGTTTAACAATAATGAATGAAGATCTGTCATTGAAGTGATAGCTAAAGGCTAAAGGCTAAATTGTGATTGCTTTACATTTGTATAAATATAGTATTATAATTACTTTTATATTGTTATAAGTATATTGTATAAGTTCAAATAATACTGATAGCACATGTAGATCTTCAAAAAATATTTATTAATTGGTTACTGTTGACCTCTTTATCAAACAAGAAATAAAATTTATAGACAGAAACTTCACTCAATATTCCAACGAAATACAAAGTATTATTATATGTTTTGAATATATTTTGTTAAATGTCTATTGTAAAATATTAATATTATGAAATTATTTTAACTTGTAATAAAATTAATTTTCAAATATACGACTTTTATTTATAAAGAGTTAACTAAAAATCGCGGGTTACTCACGTGAATATACTGAGAAAAGCTCTACTAGTTCACATAGGCTGCGCGACATCGTCCCGACCGCACACGCTGCTCATTAGGAAGAACCCCTCTGTGGTTCAAAACTAGTAGAGCTTCTATTAATTTAATTTAGTATGTCTCACGATAGTTATTTTAAAGAGATTCTTTCTCTGTCAGCACTTGGAAGATAGCTGCCCTTTTCTTCTAAAGGTAAGTAAATAAATAAGTAATGAATGGGTAGTACTACACAGTACTACCCATTCATTACTCATTTCTACGCAGTCTACACAGACTTGGGGGAAGAAGGTTCACAATTCTCATTCTACGAAAATTTAGATTTTAGTATCCACTACACGCATCTTTCTTTTCTTTTTATTCTTGAAAAAAGAATTGCTTAAGAGGGTGTGTGACCAACATATGATTCTTACTTTTCTATATAAAATAGTGATACCATAGGTATAAAAAATGATAATATTTTGTATCTCCGGTATCACTTCAGACAAATTATTCAAATTTTAGTATTGGATAATTGTCAATAATAACAATATATTGTTTAGTCTAGAAGTACAAGTAGGTATTCCTCACGGCCAACCCTCGCATGGAAAATAAAAATGACATGTGGTCTGTGATTAAACGTAATGAAATCCTTTGGGAAATGCCAAAAAATGTATAGAGCAAATACCTAGAACCGATTAAAATTATTTATATGTGGCAAGGTAGGCGAACATAGTATTTATAGTGTATCCAGTAAATAGTGCACCATACTATGAGAGGCAATACCCGGGATCAATCCTATCTAAACAACCAACAACAAATGTTATTATATTTATATTATATTCTTCATTGTTTCCAATAGTCTAGTAACAAGTATAGAACCAAGTAAAAATACAATCATACACACGCCCATACGAAAATATAACATTTTGCAGGATCCTGCCCGCTCAGTTATGGTTTTTTTCAAAATGAATAGCGTATTTGTGACCTCTTTCTTATGGTCTACTAAATAGTTCATGAATGGTTTTAATCGACTCTTGAGTTTTTTTGGACATTTCCTTCATAAATATTTATGCGTAAATAATATATTGACGTGTGAATCATCGCAATCACTATATATATCAAAGATAAGGCTGCTTACCAATTTATCAAGACTTCTTATCAATATTTCGACGATATTTTTTATCTATAAATCGACATTCCGTTATAGAGAATTCAGTTTGCCTACGTCTCTCGAAAGAGTGCCAGTGAAAAAGTGCAATAAAAAAAACTAATCAATTTAAAAATGAATGTCAACAACGAAGAATTCAATGACCGTAAGTGACCTATATTTTAATTATTAAAAAAAAATACATTGTTTACATAATTTGGTACATTCTTCGTTTTTTAAGAAATATTTTATATTGATTCCCGGGCCACACAAAGTGTTAGTGATGTAGGTCAAAGTTCAACAGCTGTAATTGCATTTGTGTTGTAACAGCACATATGATTCATAATACCACGTCCAACGTGAATGACGTCAAGAAGATGTCTCAAATAATGTCAATTTATGACGTGCTACGACCTTAGTGACAAAGTGACGCAATAATAATGTAAAAAAAAGAAAAACAAATGCGTGTCAAACACGTCACTCGAAAAACCTGCACTGTTATGTTATGACTCATGGTTAGTGACGATTGTTTTTGACGACCGTGATTTTTCTATACCTTTCTTTATCTCATGTTAACCTCCTTTGTCGAAGTACTTTGATTCTAACTTGAGCTGACAATAATAAAGATTAAATGAATTAGAAGAGGATACTGGGAATACCCATAATACAATATGGATGCGAGTCTTAAATATTTAAATATAAAAAAAATAAAAAAAGGGACATTTTACTTATTTTATTAAATTTATTTTTACAGCCAAAGGCCAGGGTATGCCTCCACCGTACTCAGACACACCAGCAGCATCACCACCCACTGTGGTACACCCATACCCTCCTGTGCAACCAACCGGAGTTGCATACCAACCGACTACGGGCGCTAATGTCGTCCCAGTCCTAGTCGGTAATCGGGCTATGGGCCCCAAGCCCAGCACGATCACCTGTCCATCTTGCAGAGTGGAGATAGTCACAAGGGTGGAACACATCACCTCTTCTAAAACCCACTTGTTTGCTCTCGGACTTTGTATCGTGTAAGTATCATTATTAGAACAGTTTGTATTATATTAGAACAAGTTTTGTGTGTTACATTCCTATGCGAATGAAATTGAGCGCTACACTTAAGAGCATAAGTAACAAAATCGAATCAAGTTTATAGCCCAATATCAAAAATCGTCATCTAATCAAAGTAAATGTACTTTTTGTATATCATCCTAATCACATAATTGATTATAATAAAATACAAGTAGGTACGTTATCAAAAAGTGTCCAGTACATTCAATCTGATTAACAATATTGCTTTGTTTTTTCCAGATTCTGGCCTTTGGTGTGCCTGCCGTATTTACTTTCCAGTTGCCAGAATGCTGACCATTATTGTCCAAACTGCAACGCCTACATCGGAAGCTACAAGAACTAAGACCTGGCTGACTATATGTATAGGACTAAATTATATGAAAAATAGCTGATAGATAGTGTTATCACCTATTTATTACATACGTGGAATAAAACAACGCAAGGTTTTGACAAAGGTGATGTAACATTTTCCCAATGTTGCGCAAATGTTTCAGCCTAGTGAAGTTGTTGTTTGTGAAATAGGATCTATGTGTTCTTTGCCTTATATTTGTTGTAAGAAGTGCATAGAATTATGATAACGCCTATGATAAGAATGTATTAGAAAGGGTTTTTTGTAAAGCTATGTGGAAGGAAATGGAGATGAAGTGTGTAATATTTAAAGATTAAATGTGACTGCTTAAACTGGTACTGGTAAAGTGCCTTCCTGGTCTAATTGAAATGACTTTGACTCTGTTTGACTTTTAAAGATTTCGTAAAATACGTAACTATTAGTAAAACAAAACTTCTTCCCAAAATCTTTTAATGCTGGTCGAACTATGCATTCATGTATAGTTTTGATTCAGTACTGATCAATTAATGGGACACATGATTGTCAATTGTTTTTCACAATCGTTGAGAATCTCTGTGAAATGACAATTTTGACTGATGTGTCACAAATGTCACTGTCAAAAGGATAATGACCCCAAAACAACACTTCAGCTATTTTCTGTACATAAAGGCTCTTACCATGCAATGTATGTATGTATGTGGGTTAAATTTTAATAATTTTATTTTAAGTTGCATAAAATATGATGGTAATCTATACTGAGCTTTAATAAATAAAATATAAGACAATATCATGTTTTTATTTCCTACCTGCTTGTGACGAACAATAAAAACTACCTTATCGGTGACGATGTGTTTATGAAAGTGATATTGCTAATAATGTAGGTTCAATCACTTCGATAAGCAGCCTAGTGTTAGGTTATAATAATGTCGAAATTACAAGTAAAGAGATAAGTAGAGAGATCCAAGAGGTTTAATGTGAAAACATTGCTACATACTATAAAAAATATAACAAATATGACTGTCTGATAATGCTTGCATTTAAGCTTTTAAAAAAGGACGTAATTAGGTGCTTATATAGCCGATGCTGTGAGCGTCGCATAGCGGACTACAAGCTGGTCATGATTATGAACCCCTGTTATGGTTTGAAATTAGTCGAGTAACCGCATTAAACAGTATAGTATATGAAAATAATTAATTATCCACCAATAAATCTAGAATTTATTTCATAGATCAAATAAATTGTAACTTTTACAATAAGATAATATACGATAATAACGTATCCAGCCAAATGTGAATCTTATTAATCCTTTGGAAAAAAGCAGGCTTATTAACTGATACTATTAAAGACATTAGAAAACGGCTCCATCGTAGACCACATCATCGCTTACCACTAGGCGAGATAGTAGTCAAACGACCATCAAATATATACCTATATTTAAAAAAAAAACAAATATGGGTGCCAGTACTTCAAATTCACGAGGGATCAAAAGTTTGAAAACATAGCAAGAATCAGTAGTAAAAAAACTAGTCTTTTTTTATTTTTTTTTAAGGGGGAAAAATCATCGAATGACTGCTCCCGCCTGGGTGAGGCGGAACGGAGTGTCAGACTCTTACTGACTAAAAACCACCCCATTCCTTCCCTTCCTGCACATCGAGCCGGAGCCTCGGTTACCCGTTAGGTTCTCTGTGACAAAAAAAACTAGTCTAAACAAAAAAAAAAGAGTTTTTGTACCAGAATCTCATGGCATAAGCAGCTACTTCCCTTTTTTTATTTGATGGGCCGACATTTAACATGGTAAGCGATGATGCAGTCTACGATGGACCACGTCGTCCTATAAGCAACCTCTGTTGGCTCGTTATCTTTTCCTAAATGTCAATGTGCAATATTCATCGCCTGGTTCTGTTCGCAAAATAAACATATTTTTACTTACCTGTATCAGATAAATAAAAGACGTCAGTTGTTGTATGTTTGTTTAAGGAAAACGATACATTATTAATGTATTTATTGATATTAGACAGTACAATGCTAAGCAATTTTATTTATCTGATAATTTTAGTGTGCTGCGTCAGTCCAGTCTAGTCAATAAGAAATGAAGTTCGGATTTGGGAATCTATTTGTTTTGAATAAGTATTATTGAGATATTTATTTCTAGTTTCATCATTACTAACACACTATAATAATTGTGCCTCGTTGCCCGAGTGGTTGCAAGGGCGACTGCCGGGCAAGGGGTCTTAGGTTCGATTGCCGGATCGTGCAAAGTATTGCTGAATTTTTTTAAGGCTCCTATTACATGGGACTTATAACATAAATAGTAAAAAGTGGGTTTTACATTATGCAGTGGCATCCAGTGCCGTATTGTGCATCTATGCTTACCCCTTTCGGAATAATAGGCGTGATATTATGTTATTTGTATAATACCTTTAATATGCTGTTATTCATCTTAAGTAGTAGCTTAATTATGGATACCTAAACCTAACTTATTTTCACCAGTCTTGGTACAAACTGCTTTGTAGAAAAAGTGTATGTACATTTAGTATTCTGATTTTTACCTAGTGTTTTGGGGAATATAGAGTGAAATATTATAAATAGTATGAGGTGTTTCATGACGCACATTTTCCATGAAGTTATGTATGTACGTTAATTTATCTGTTATATCTCGATGTGCAAAAACCTGATACGCAGATGTAGATTAAAAATATGTAGAATCGACAGTACTTTTAAAACTTTTTGATTAAGTAATATTACATCATTAATTTTTTGATAGTGGATAAATTGATTTACGTCCAATTTCAATAACCTATCTATCTGTAGATTTGCTTACTAGAGATAGAATTTTGACACTTTTTGTATGGAGCTCATGTCAAAATTCTATTTCTAGTAAGCACAAAAAGTTTTTAAAGTGTGGGAGAGCCATGCTTCGGCACGAATGGGCCGGCTCGACCGGAGTGATACCACGGCCTCACAGAAAACCGACGTGAAGCAACGCTTGCATTGTGTTTCGTCGCGTGAGTGAGGTTACCGGAGGCCCAATTTCCCTCCCCTTCCCCAATCTCCCCAATCCCTGAATCCCCAACTATCCTCAAACTCCTAATCCACAAATAGCCGGTAACGCACTTGTAACGCCTCTGGTGTTCCAGGTGTCCATGGGCGACGCCGATTGCTTTCCATCAGGTGATCCGTCTGCTCGTTTACCGGCTTATGCCATAAAAAAAAAAAAAAAAAAATTTGCAGATAGATAGGTTATTGAAACTGGCTGTTAGAGTTTATCTGCTTTTTCCAATAATATAATGTTAAACCCATTGTTAGAGATGTGAAAACATAAGACATGTAATCGTGTTTCACATACACTTGGTCAATTTTTTTAGACCGTAAACGGGCATACGGGTCACCTGATGGTAATCAATCGGCGCCGCTCATGGACACCTGAAACACCAAGGCGTTACAAGTGCATTACTGGCCTTATGGGAATTGGGAATTTGAGGATTGTGGGAGAGGGGGGGGGGGGTTTGGGCCTCCGCTTACCTCACTCACATGATGAAACACACCACAAGCGTTGTTTCACGTTGGTTTTCTGTGAGGCCGTGATATCCAGCCAGAAACATGGCTCTCCCGCACTTTACTTCCACACTTTATTCTTTAGTTTCCCTCTACCATTACTTTATTCTTTCGAGTTTGACCCAATTCCAGATTGTTATTGTAGATTATCAGGATAAAGATAAGTATTCCGCATAGAAGGAAGTTTCTCGAATTTTCTAGAATCACGATTCTCATGTCTCAAGATTTATGTAATCTATGATAGATTTACCGATTTATTGATTATATTGATATTATATTACAGTAGTGCGTTTGGCTATAGCTGATAATACCGTGTTATCATTTATCATACTACCTTTTTTGTTAATCTAAATTGTGTGACCTGTACCTTAAGTAACAATATGGAATATTTTCTATTTTTTATTTTATTTATATAATAATTTTTTAGGTCTTTCTATATATGAAGTGATACAATTAACAAAATAAAAAAAACAAATATGATTATCTTTTTATTGCTCCTGTCGAAAAATTGCAGCAAGAAATTCCAATTGGAATATGCAGTATTCATGTACCTCTGATCTGAATATACGGAGTACATTAGGTATCTTTTTCTATATATACTGTCAGTGTATTTTGCATAAATAAAAACATGGAGAGTCACCAATATCATAAGCACAAAAATGTAAAGGTTCTCATATAAAATGCAACTTAGGTATTTGATTTTAGTGATTACTCAGTTTCGAGACACACGTTATCTCACGGATTCTGGTTGTATGGTGTACAGCAATAAGTCCTTTTGGTTATACATATAATGTCTAAACAGAGTGTCAGTTCATGAAAAGCGTTTCCAATAATTTACAGTGAACTGTTCACTACGATGCACTTTCCCATCAAGTAGTACCAATCGTGTCACCTAGGCGTCACTACGTGCATGCACGCTACAAAATAAATTTGTAAAATTGTGCTGAAATTATAAATGACGATTAAAAAGTATTAAACAGATCTTAAGCTTATCCATCGTTAAGTAATAAAAAATTATATTATTCATTATTAAATTATGATATTATTTTAATGATACGATATATGATTTTGACCTAACTAATTGCCGCCATATTTTACCAGTGTTGCCAATTTAATTTTCCATTTTCCCCTCTCATGAGTCTCATAAAGAGGAAAAATTAAAAAAAATCTCACTTGCTTGTGAATTATAAATAAAATTATAATTTTGCTATTTATTGAACTTAGACTTACCTAAGCTTTAATGTACTATTTACTCGACTACATAATTTTAACCGACTAATATAAGAAGGTTCATTTCGATTTTCGACAGTTATTTTGAAATGATTGAATCGATTTAGTTAAGTATATTTTTTTGATGAAAAGGGTGCAATAATATTTTTTATAAATTGGTTTTATAGAAATAATATAAAAAATGTCTTAATATGATTTGTTTAATTATTGTTTTTATACGGAAAATAAATTATTAATTAAATATCAATGCAGTGTCTAATAAAAAAAAATCATTGTTTTTCTTTACTTCTAAATGGTCTGGTTCATGTACTCAAATAAATATTTGAGTTTAAATTTGATAGGAGAAATTCTCCTATCAAATTTATATCTCCCATAAATAGGAGAATTTTTGTCGTCTTCTCTTTTCTGTCGTTTCGCTCTTGGCAGAGCGGTCGTGGTCACGTTGAGGCGGCCGTATTTGGGTTGGTGGCCGATACAGCTTTCCTCACGATCTCCCGCCATCTCTCTCTGTTTGTGGATTGTCTGGCGCAGTCTGACACTGGGTATTTTGTCGTAGCTGGTATCATTTTTGTACCGTGTAAATCACAAGTCGCACGCACACATGCAAGATATTTCGCAACGTCATTTTTGTTTTTATTGTATAGTGATGGTCTATCTAGACATTTATAATCCAAGGCTAGCCCATATATTACCCACTTTTAATGTATTTAACTTATTATCCATTATAGATTTTGTATTATAATGAAAAGATAGGCATAACATGTTCCATTATCAAAATAGATAAACAGGGGAAACACAGCACACAATAAATAAAAGGAAATGAATTATCTAAACACAACAGGCGATTATGTATAAATTTTTTTATGGAATTGTACATTTTGAGTTTTATTTATAGCCAAAAACTCTTGCTTTGAAAGGTTACATAACATAACATCGCGCCTTCTATCCGCGAAGGGGTAGGCAGAGGGGCACTTAATGCCACTGTACAATGTAACACCCACTTTTCTCTATTTATGTTATGAGTCCCATGTAATGAGCCTATTGACATATACCGGGCACAATTCAAGACTTCCAGACTCTGTGCTACTACTAAGATTTTTTTAAAAACACCCAGTAATACTTTGCCCGTCCCGGGAATCGAAACCGAGACCCCTTGCTCAGCAGTCGCACTTGCGACCACTCGGCCAATGAGATCTTTGCAATATAATAGCTCATTTTTACATATTAGCGTTTACATAATATAATAAAACATTCAAAGTTTATTTTAAACGATGACATAACTGGCACATGTTACACAGATTAGCTTCAATGTAACAATTGACTTATTTTTTATGAAGACAAAACAATTATATTAATTGAGATTTATATATTTTCTTAAATATCTCCTTAACACTCTTCATTTCAGCAATTTGACGGCGCGAATGATTGGCTGGATGATTCCTACTTGTAACAATTATTTATGTCATCCACAAATTGTAGTTCTGAGTCCAGACTTCAGTCCTATCCAGATAGACAGACGCAAAACACTCAGGTGTTTTGCGTGCGTAATTGTAAAAGGAGATAAAACTATACAATAAAACAATAAGCAATACAATGATGAGGCAAACATAATATAATAAATGAATGTTACCAACTTCATTTCCCGATATTCCCTTTCACCGATACTGACACTCGTAGGCATACGAAAAGTTATGCAAAACTTCTTATATTAAGTGTAGGAGAACCATGCTTCGGCACGAATGAGCCGGCTCAACTGTAGTGATAGCTCGGTCTCACAGAAATCCGACGTGAATCAACGCTTCCGTTGTGTTTAGTCGTGTGAGTGAACTTACCGGAGGCCCAATCCCCCCCCCCCCTTCTCTAATCTTCCCAATCCTTGAATCCCCAACAATCCTCAAATTCCTAATCCCTAAAAGACCGGTAACGCACTTGTAAGGCTAGTGGCGTTCCAGGCGACGCCGATTGCTTAAGTGAAATTCAAATGATAAGTCGTATTTCTATCGAATTACAATGTATGCAAATCGTGTAAAATTACATTACATTGAAAAAAAAACAAGTTCATTGATCCGATGTATTAAGTAATACTTTTTCTCTTTGTCTTATCAATCTTATCATTGGATTGGAAGCTGTGAATCACCAGAACAATCAGTTACAAAATTTGAAGTACGTACTCAAAGAATGACACTTCATCTTCATGAATCATGAAGACTGAAGCTTCATTTAATACACGTACATACAACGTAGTGAATTCGTAGTGTTGCTCTTGATAATGATATGATAATGCTCTTTCATACAAAATCAATATTTATTACTTATCTTGCATCTTCCGGAGCCATAGAAGACCTAACAGGTTGCCGGGGCTCTGACTCAAAGTAGGAGTAGGTAGTAGGTAACAACACTTGTCTTGTATTTTGTCGCGTGAATTATGTTACCGGAAGCCCAATTACCTCCCTCCCCAATATCCCTGATCCACCGATCTCCAACAATCCCCAAAATGCCGAAATGCACTTGTAACACCTCAAGTGTTTCGGGTGTCCATGGGCGACGCTGATAGTTTCCCAGCGGGTGATTCGGCAGCTCGTTTACCGTCTTATTTCATAATAAAAAATTAGTTAGAGGCTGACAATTCCTTTCGCCTCACTCAACGCGAGAGGATTGGATGACTTCCCCCCTTAAAAAGGCTTTTGTGACTTAATTTGGAACAAGTGCAATACATGTATCTTGATCTAGAGAAGAGTATACTAGGTAGGTAAATTATGTAACACCCATTTCTTGAGTGCTCAGAAATGTCAGCTATGTCCTGACAAACCAGGCTCAGGAGCCTTGTTTGTAGATTGAGGGAGACCCCATGAATAGAGAATGTACCAACTTTAAGTATAATTTCATACTAGATACTGTTTCTGAGAAAAACCAACTTTGAATTTGGTGGTAATTTTGCACTTGCACTGCCGGGCAAGGGGTCTTTATTTTTTTATTTTTTTAAGGGGGGAAAATCATCGAATGACTGCTCCCGCCTGGGTGAGGCGGAAGGGAGTGTCAGACTCTTACTGACTAAAAACCACCCCGTTCCTTCTCCTGCACGTCGAGCCGGAGCCCCGGTTACCCGTTAGGTTCTCCGCGACAAGACATAGGACAAGGGGTCTTGGGTTCGATTTCCGGGTCGGGCAAAGTATTACTGGGTTTGTAAAAACCTCAGTAGTAGCATGGAGTCTGGTCCGGTATATGGCAATAGGCTCACCCCCTATTATATGAGACTCCTAACAATAATAGTAAGAAGTGGGTGTTATATTGTACATTGGCATTAGGTACCGTAAGGCCGTACCGTACCGCACCTCGGGGATAAAACGCGTGATGTTATGAATTTGGTGGTCTTAAAAATGAGCACTTAAACGAAAACATCAAACACGTGTTAAGGTGACGTCGTCGTTACAAAACACCTACCATTAGATAGGTACACGTATACATTTAGCTATTAGGTATTAATTAAGTACCATAATAAATATTATATTCTGATTATTTGCTGACGTTTTGAACATCTGCAACGAAGATATGAAAACAGTTTCATTCATATCAATGCATATGTAGGTATATGAAATATATCCGTAAATCCATTGACGCATAAGGTTGACATTTTTCTATGTACATATATTGCACAATCGTTCTTCACCGTTTCACTAGAAACGAATTTACGTACAATACTTACAAATTGTTGATTCATTAAATTAGTTTTTCGTTCGTTAACTGCCAGGTCAAGTTAATTGCCTTATGCTATTGTTAGAATTAAAACTACGTGTTATTTTAGCCATAATTGTGTGCGTTAAATACGTCATAGGGATTTTGATTACTCAGAGCCTGGAAGTCAGAATGGTTAAAAATTACCTGTATTTGAAAGAAATTTATAACTACAACATAACATCACGCCTTTTATCCCCGAAGGGGTAGGCAGAGGTGCACACAGATGTAACACCCACTTTTCACTATTTATGTTATGAGTCCCATGTAATAGGGGGTGAGCCTATTGCCATATACCGGGCACAATTCCAGACTCCGTGCTACTACTGAGAATTTTTTTAAAAACCCAGTAATACTTTGCCCGACCCGGGAATCGAACCCGAGACCCCTTCGCAGAGAGAGAGGCAGTCGCACTTGCGACCACTCGGCCAACGAGGCAGTCAAAAAATGTATTACTAATGAACACTTTTTATTGTATAATGCTATTTTCCCTTCGTGCACTAGAATAACTATGCTCGATTAATTGAGTCCCGGTCTAGGCTTGATCCTAGCCGAGTACTCTCAAACAGTTTCGTGCGTTAACCGCATAATTTGTAATTAATTTAGTATTTATTACAGTACTAAAATAATTATAATGCTTGCTGCCTCATTAGCTGAGTGGTCGCAATTCCGACGTTTTAATTCCCGGATTGGGAAAATATTACTAGGTTTTAAAAAAATCTCTGAAGTAGCGCGGAGTCTGGAATTGTGCCCAGTATATGGCACCTCCCATTACATGGGACTCATAACATGAATTGTGAAAAGTTGGTGTTACATTGTATAGTGGCATTAAATGTCGTTATGTGCACCTTTGACTACCGCTTCAGGGATAAAGGGCGTGATGTTATGTTCTTACGATAGTTGTTCTTATTCTTTGATTAGACATGAAGTTGTGATGCGCCAAGCAATAACTAGCGCAGGTGTTGTTTGTCAATTGAACAATAATTAGCATATTATCTAGGCTGAGCTAATGTGGCAATGCTATCTGTGGCGTTATCAACAAATCCCTTCAGCTATACTTGATAAATGTCATTCTTATCAACAGATAGTGTCCACACGATTTTTGTTTCATCGTCGCCAAATATTTGTGTGTTTACTGTTTAAGTGAGCAGTGTTGAAATAGAGGAATAGATTTTATTGAAACGTGTTAGATTTTTTGAAGAAGTTCGGCTTTCGAGACTAATATTCATACGGAATTGTAATCAAAATGTGAGTATTATATTTGTCGTTTATCCTTTGGTTGAAAGACTTTACACTTAGGACTTACTTTTATTGTTACAAGCAAAATAAAAAAAAAACACGCGTTTGACTTCCCTAAAAAGGATATTTGGAAAAAGTTTTACAACTAGATATCTTTTCCTAAATTAACAATTTTGTATTTCATCAGAATACATTTTCATAATCGATAAGCCTAAATATGTTGTAATGACATGACGTGTGACTAATCATTATGATTTATCAAACTTTTCTTAGAGTTTTGAGTGTTCCAAAGTAATTTTTGCTTGGTCGGCCATATTGGTGTAGTGTAATTAGTCTGATGGCAAATATTTAATCCATAATTAATTCGACGGCACGCTTGGTGCGGTGGCTGGGCAACCGGCTGCCGTGCAACGTGTCGCGGGTTCGATTCCCGCACAGAACAACACTTTGTGCGATCCACAAATTGTTGTTTCGGGTCTGGGTGTCATGTGTATGTGAACTTATATGTTTGTAAACGCACCCACGACACAGGAGAAAATCCGAATGTGGGGCAACGTTTTTTAAAAAAATAAAAAAATAGACTAATTTCACAAGGTCCCATGTCTTCTAATTTGTATTCAAGTATAACCACAAACTAGTGACGGGTAATGAAATAACAAAACACCTTAAATTTTCCAGAAACAATGCAAAGTCAACCACCACCACCATACCCAGGTCAGGAGCCAACACCGATCCAGGTGAATGTGATTCACGTACAGCCAGTGGCAGGCCATTATGTGACTGCAAGTGGAGACACGGTGCTGATTGGTCAGCCTGTCGGAACTGAGCCAGCATTGGTTGTCTGCCAATCCTGCAGGCACCAGGTCATCACAACGATGGAAATGCGACCAACTGCTCGAACACATTTATGGGCCTTCTGTCTTTTTATTATCGGGTGAGTTAGAAACAAAGTCCGACAAAAGTGTCGGATGCTTTCTCTGGGACATAATTTTAAAACTATTTTCAAAGATACTACCTATCGTTTAAGCCATTTAATGAAGTAGTACCCATTTTAGCACAATCTTAACACATAGTTGTTGTATTATGGTTTATGACTGATTAAATACGCCTTCTTTCGTCTTTTTAAATTATTTCGGAACTAAGAGACCTTTTGTCGTACTTGATACTCTTCAACCATAGTTTGTAGATCAGACTACGTATTGATATGTACCAACAAATACAAACTAAATTATATAAAGCGATGCACTAATAATATCCTTCTGTATTTTCCAGGTGCTGGCCTTGCATGTGCATACCTTATTGTACTCCAAGCTGTATGAACATCGACCACTATTGTCCTAACTGTAGAGGTTACATCGGCAAGTACGAGTATTGAAGAAATACATTTGACCTTAGGATATACATGCTGTTCAACTATTTTGGGATCTGGAGTTTCTGACGATTGTTTTGTGTTTCTTGTATTGTTGGTTGTGCCTCTCTAACATGTAATTTTGTGGTTTAAAATTAACTTTAATAGTCGGGAATAATTTACTTAAGTTATCGAAAGCATTGGTTTGATACTTTGCATATAGCATATATTACTGTTTCGTCGTATTGCATAGTTCTCAGTTTATAGTACTCGATAATAGCCTACCACCGTCTAAATCTACCAAGTAAAATCGTTCCTAAAATAAAAGTCAAGATTATATAAAAATATTACTTATTTAAACGCTAATAGAGACAAATGATTTGTATGACATGAAGTTTATAATTTTGTTATTGTATCCAGTCAATGTGAGCAGTGAGAAGTGGTGGTATAAGCTTAAGAAGAATAGAAGCTTAAAAGCCTATTTGTGACAAATATTAATTACATATTTTTTTCCTAATAACTATTAGTCCACGATCACATATGATTTGTTTGCTCGAAGTCAATGTTTTTTAGGAAATAGAGTGAAAATTGGATATTTTAGTTCGCATTTTTTACAATCTATAATTAATCTGAGATTACAAGTGATAATTTTAGTATGAATAGGTACTAGTACTAAAAAGTACCTTTTTAATTGTGATAAGGCAGAAATGGACTTCAGGTGTTGTCTGAGCAGATAAAAATAAAATGAACAAAAGAATTAGTTGATTACGTATTGTACAGTTGTATAAGAATTATTAATATCAGTTAAATGATAGAATTGCAAATAAAACTGTATGAGCTTAGAGTTTTGTGGATTTTTTACAGAATTTTATCCATATCCGGTTGTAATTGGATGACTATGTCTTATCAACAACATAAGTTGATTACTTATCTTGCAGCACGTACTTAGTATTATAATTTATATTATTCCTTTTTAATGTTCAAATATAAGATTAATCTTTAATCACAACGCAGTTCCGTCAAATATTGCTTAATCATCCTGAACACCAACAACATGCAGATAAAATTAATTTTTAATGCTCATAAAATTAAGTGTAATTTGTACTAATCCGACAAAGGCCAGGGTTCTTATTTATTATGTAAAAATAATGATCTAGTATATGTAATTAATTTTGTTAATTTAAGTTGTAAATATGAAATAAAATATTTTCGTTAACACTCTCGTTTGATTAAATTGTAATAATATAGGTCTAAATTTAGCTGATATAAAATGAGGAAACAAAAATGGGTAGCAGATTTTAGTGTTATATCCTATTATACAGAGTAAAATAACAAATCCTAACGTCACATTTTTGACTGCCGACAGAAAACTGAGACATATCCTAAGCGCTAAGCGATATGGTGGCTAACGTGTACTCTTGTACACATTAAGGTCAAATGAGGTCAAATCAAAGAGGTGAGAGAATGTGTATGTACACACATACACAAAGTCCAATAGCTTTTCACCAGCTATGATAAGAGTCTCTTCTACGTGAGGTTGACCCCAAAAAAGTGTGTGTGTAAGTTTAAGTATGGGACAGCCACGCTTTGACACGAATGGACCGGCTCGATAGAAGTGATCCACGGTCGCACAGAAAACCGACGTGAAATTATGCTTATGTTGTGTGAGCGAGCTTACCGAAAGCCCAATTACCCCCTTACTCAATCTCCCGAATCCCGACATCCCCAACAATCTTCAAATTCCTAATCCTGAAAAGGCTTGTAACGCACTTCTAACGCCTAATAATTGGGTTTTGGAGTGGGTGTCCATGGGCAGCGTCGATGCTTATCATCAGGCCTGTCTGGTCGGGTACCGCATACATTACAATAGGTACATTAAAAATACTGAAATAAAACCAAAGTCGTGAAACATGGTATAACATAACTGAATGTAGAAGTCACACAATTAACTGATGATGGCGCACACGCTGAAAGCTGTGAAACATGCCGCAAGTTAGGGTCGTTTTACAGTTTCCTGACGCTATATGTATATGATGTGATCGTAATTTCAACAGGCCGATGTGGACCGGCAGTCGTTACGGGAGCCCTAAGATCAGCATTGAACAATTTGCGACTAATAATGAATATAATAATGAATGGTAATTTGTAAAGTCGATTAATTATTTACTATGATTTATTAAATAATGTATATGTGTGTGTGGTGGGTGTGTAGATGCATCAATATATATATGTATATATATATTTTTTTTGTCTTTGTCTAACCATACAACGTTGCTAACATCCGTGCGTCACTGCATGGGTGCCTACTGAAAATCAGTGCTGGGTGACTTGTATGCCTGGCTTATACTGAGTATAAGCCCTTTTAGTATAGGCATGTTGTCAGCGTCTCTTCTCTAATTCTTCTGTTTTAATTTTTCCACTCTTATATTTTTATTACTTCCACTGTCACACCTTGATTGTCTTTTTTATATTTTATTTATGCTGCATCGTGCCTGGTGCTGAAACAATGTTTTTCCTTTCTTTCTTGATTATACTTTTACTTACTTCAAAGCGTTTCTGTAAACGTACAAACTGTACATTGCCTATTTATAAAGGTTACTTCATAATCACCTGCTACTTTCATCTCTGTACTACAAAGGTTGACTGGGAGACAATGCCAAGGCATTAAGTCCACCTGTAAACACTTGTTGTATTAAGTTGAATAGGGTAGTTTCCAAAATTTTATTTTGTTGTCGCCTGGTAGTTTAATTTAAAACATTCAACTTATTTTTTCTTTTGTCTGAACATTAAATACTTTCGACGATATGTTAATTCCTATTATATTCTTCCCACTCCTAAAATTCACTCCAGTTTATGTAAGTTTTGTAACTCTATACGAGAAAATAAAACAATAGGTACGTGTCTAATATTGTTTTATTATCTAACTGATGGACTAATTAGATTCGTTTTTAACATATCCTGGCAACTATCCCATTTAACGACAAAATAAACCATGAGGCACTTACATAGGACCAAAAGCGGAATTTAAAATTCGCGCTCTAGTAGCAAAGCGGGGAATCCCATAAAATTAAAAACGAGAACTTATTTATGCGTGGCCAATGTGCTGTACTGAGAATTTAAAACCAATCTTAGATAACATTATATTTAGGTTGTTTATAATATAGAGGGGCCGTTGTTTAGCAAAGTATTGTATATTTGTGTAAGTACTTCATGACAGAAATATTTTCAAGTGTTTGTTACGTATAAGCCATAACAAAGATTAGACATTCTTACGGCGTCATGCACAAACGTCACTTTAGCCACGCTCATAATGAAGGACGAGTAGAAACAAGAGTCGAGGAACTTCTGATTCTAATTATATTCGGATAGATAATTATAAACTGTTTTGTAATAAAGCTTAAGTGCGTAATTTATTTCTTGTATCCATTAAACCATGCGTGTATAACGCAATGAATTACTGAATTCTAATCTATTACACAAAAAGAAAACTGACTTCACGAATGACATTAAGATATTGGGCATTTTTTAGGGAGATAAAATCATCGAATGACTTCTCCCGCTTAAGTGAGGTGTGAGAGAGTGTCAGACTCTTACTGACTAAAACCACCCCATTTCTACTTGCACTTCGAGCCGGATACCCGGCAACCCGTTAAGATCCCATCCGTGGTGGACTGATGGCACTTTGAGGCGCGAGCGGAACGCGACGCGCCGTACGCTCGGGTCTGGTTCTGGTCGGCAGGCTGGTCTGGCAGGCCCGTGCTTACGGTGGCCGGAGATCGGGACGCGATCCCCGACGCGACGCCCGGAAAGATATCGAGCATTGAGTCTTAAAACTAATCCTATGCATTGTTACTTGCTGCTTTTAAAGTTTTATAGATACAGGCCCGAGACCATACTTTCACATTATGGTACGTTTGAGAGTACGGCAGAAATATCATAGTTCCCAGTAATCGAACTAAGCGTAAGTGGGTCCATGTGTATTGGCCCGACGTGGTTTAAATAACATTCCATAGACCATAAGTGAGCATACAAGGGACACATTTGTCAATCATACCACACGTTCTTAAGAGACCCTTAGCAACATAGAGATTTGACAAAAAAAAAGTAATAAATTAGACCAGAGTCTGCATCAATCTTATGTTTTAGAGCGTAAAGGTTATTTTTGTAGTATTATAATTTAGTGCTAGGGTCCTTAAAATAACTGAAAAAGTCCGGTTTAGCTTGAGTTGTTGTAAATTCTTTTGAGAAGACGGTTGTCGAATCTGGAGTTTCATTTAAATCAACTAATAATATACGTTAGTAAATAGTTTATTAAAACAAGTGATTTCTACTGATTAGAAAGAAATATAAGGTGTCTGTAGGTGTGATTGGACTAGTCTGGTAAGTGTATTTACGTTCTTGTAGGATTTTCAGGAAATCCTTGAATATAAAATTCGGGAAATCGTTCGTCTCCTGGCTATTAACTACTTCTCTACCAATTATTGTTCAAATCGATTTAACCATTCTTGATTTATAAATAGTGTAACTAACATGAGTTTTTTTATACAATAAATTTATAATAACTTCTGCCCGCGATTTCGTACGCGCAATTCCGTTTTTCCTTTATGATTTTCAGTAAATAGAAAAAAAAAGCATTGGATAAAAAGTATCCTATGTCAGCCTCTTGGTTCTAAGTTACCTCCCCACCAATAGGAAGGGTAATGAGTGATAGTAAGTTTAAATGCCGAGCATAAAGTTTCAACGATCTCTGGCAACCGTAAGCGCGGGCTTGCAGATGGCGAGCATGGGTGGCTAGCTGCCCGATCAGAACCAGTCTCGAGCGTACGGAGCGTCGCGTTCCGCGCGCCTCAAAGAGCCATCACGCCACCACGGATGGGGCCCAATAGGGCTGATGCCGATACGAAGCCGCGGAGAACTTAACGGGTTATCGGGGTTCCGGGGTGGTTTTTAGTCAGTAAGAGTCTGACACTAATGGCGGGCGAAGTCATTCGATGGTTTTCCATCCTTAAAACAAGGACCTTGTGCTGAATAGTTGTATATCACCCACTAGAGCGAAAAGACAAAAGTGCTACCACTTCGATAGCATAAGTACCCGCTACACGAAGCATAATTACATAATGGAAAGTGAAGAAGTTTCTTACTTGGTTTGATTATGATAATTGTCAGTAGTCTATTAGCATACTAGAAGGGTCGACGGGAGCCATTAAAACCGTTCTTTTAACTTATTAAATGCAGCATTGTACTTTTCGGTAAGTTAAAAAAACATTATTGATGCTGAAAACAATAATTTATTGTGAGATTTAGAACGTCTGTTCCAAACCATTATACGTGTTTATTTTTTATTAAAAATCTTAATAATTTGGATTTAACTATGAAATTTTCACTTGCCAGTCTTGAACTATTCATCTATACTAATATTATAAAGCTGAAGAGTTTGCTTTTTTGTTTGAACGCGCTAATCTCCGAAACTACTGGTCCGATTTGAAAAATTCTTTCTGTGTTGGATAGCCCATTTTTCGAGGAAGGCTATAAATATCACGGTACGATTAATAGGCGCTGAGCAGAGCGAGTGAAACCGCGCGGAAGTAGCTAGTAGTGTAATATAATTGAACGGACTTTATACTTGTTTCATAAAAATGTGTTTCGTTCTCCTTTATTTTTACCGACTTCAAAAAAAGGAGGAGGTACTGTGTTCGGCTGATTGTTTTTTTTTTTTTTTTTGGAAATATTTTTTAAGAAGTTTAGTTCAACAAGACAAGTGAAATTAAAGCAAATAGGTATATAAATTAATTATTCATTTAGATTGGTTTGACAGCCTATCTGTTAGTGCAACAAAATACAGGGTTTGAAATCCTAGAATTGAAAAGAGAATTAAAAAAAAAACTTAAATTTATTTTCCTATTGATGTTTCACTTGTCTGAAATTTATTTCGGACAAGTGAAATGTTTACATTATTACATTTTTACATTTAATGTTTACATTATTTTATTTATTTATTTTATTTTTTGCCAATAGTCGTCAGTGAAAACAAAATATGTGTCGTTATTGAAGCAAAAATTTTATTAAAAAAAAAGAACACGATGTTTTTCCTATCCTTGTCACTTACACTTGGCATTATTAAGAATACTGTACTTGGCAGGTACAGAGTATTCTTAATAATTCGCTAACTTCATTGCAATCGAGCATTATGCTCTAGCCTATAAAAGAAACTCCGTGCATCCACGCTATCACTTAACTAATGATGTGACTAGCTATCAATCATAATTTTAGCATTAACTAAAAAAAAAACAATCTATTAAAAATAATAAACTTGATGTTATATTTATCATTTTAAATTATGTCTTTTGGGCACGCCTTATGATAGCGATGAGGAAAAATTTGTAAGGTAACATATTAATTTTTTTAAGGTGTAAATATTTTATTTATTTTACAAGTAACAGTATTATAAACAATGTTGTCAATTACAAGGACGAGCATCATTAAAATTACTCCTTATGTAACTGAAACAGCTTATCAAACTATACTTAAACGTCTATATAATTTAAACTTTATAACAAACATGTATGGTCGAAAATCCCTTTCACAGATTCGGAGTAACTTTATATGCTTGTACGTGTAATCTTAAGTTTTAAACTATGTAGGTACTTATAAGATAATTATGAAGCATCAGTATAAACATTGTTATCTAAGTCTTAATATTTGAATTGCTCTTCATACTGTAGTTGGCAATGAATGTTAATTTTATAATAACATAACATAATTGGCGATAATTGGATGATACATTTCGTTGTGAGTACTTTTGGCTACTAAAGAGGTCCATAATATGGAATGTAGCACATATTTTACCAATTATTATTGGTATTATTTATTACTAGCTGACCCGGAAAACTTCGTATCTTTCCTCCTTTTTTCTCATCCTTTAAAACTTCCCTAGACGTCGACGAACATTTCAACACCAAAATTAGCCATATCGGTTCAGCAGTTATCGAGTTTTAGCGAGACTAACGAACAACATACGTATATTATTATTTATATGGATTATAAAGTATTCCGTTATTCTCGAAATTATACAATTTCGGTAATTATAAGGTTCACGGGCCTAAACCAAGTGAATTTCAATTATTAATTATTATTATGTGTAATGCCACGTTATAGCTTACCGTACGTTTGAGCGTTTTTTTATTTGATGAGTCGACATTTGGCTACCTCGCTCGTTTGGTAGTTTTTGCCATATCTATTATTGGAAGCAAGTATAACAACTCACACACAGGACCCATTTAGCTAAATCTTTCCGTGATGCCTGACGACTAAGCTTCTCCCAGTTGTGTTTCTTTTTGTGCCTTTAGTCAGTCTCCTGCATTAAATTCACCAAGGAACTTGTCACTATTGTCTTTTTTCATCTCCATTTATAAATCTTTCGTTGTGTTAACCAAGACAGTCATTCATGTTCCTAAGACGCCCCGGACTTCAGTGTTCCGATGTTTTCATGGTATCAGTATACTGTAAATCCTAGCTTACAAGAGTCGCAGATTACGGAGGTGTTATTTTTTATGGGTAAACGAGAAAACGGGTCACCTGATGGTAAGCAATCAACGCCGCCCATGGACACCTGAAACACCAGAAGCGTTAGAAGTGCGTTACCATTAGCCTTTTTGAAATCTGAGGATTGTGGGGAATCGGGGATTATTGAGACTGGGGAGAGGTGGGGGGGGGTAATTGGGCCACCAAGTGTTAGCAGCCTTGTCTCAAAAAATGCCATGTAATAGAGAATCTATACTATATAGGTACATCATTCTTCTGAAGACTACGTGTTGATACTAAGTTTGAAGATCAAAATACCCAATGAGTTATTAATTAATATTTAAGTGTTATTGTAATTTAATTCAGTTTACGACTATATTTACGATAAAGTGAATGTTTAATAGGTACAAATAATATATTTTTTAATGATATTCATACAGATTCATGTAGATGACTAATTTTATTATTATAATGTCCGTCTAGTAGATTATTTAAAACATTACATAACATAACATAACGGCTTTTATTCCCGAAGGGGTAGGCAGAGGTGCACATTACGGCACTTGATGCCACTATACAATGTAACATCCACTTTTCACTATTTATGTTATGAGTCCCATGTAATAGGGGGTGAGCCTGCCATATACCGGGTACAATTCCAGACTCCACGCTACTACTGAGATTTTTTTTAAAACCCAGTATTACCCACACGGCCAACGAGATAAAATTAACTTCAAATAATCTATATCTTCATTTAATTTCAGAATCAAAATGAACTCCGTACCTGTCGGTCCAAAGCCGTGTCCGGTGGAGTGTCCATCTTGCAAAGCGACTATAATCACAAAAGTGGACAAGAAAGCTACCATAAAGACCCACTTAATGGCATTTTTAATATGTTCACTTGCGTAAGTATTTTTCTACTTTTTAAAAATTGTCGATCTAGAATTTTCTTTCCTTTGTAATATTTTTTTTTTAATGGTTGCCCCACACTAGGATTTTCTCCTATGTCGTGGGTGCGTTTACAAACATACAAGTTCACATACACAATGACACCCAGACCCGAAACAACAATTTGTGGATCACACAAAGTGTTGTTCCGTGCGGGAATCGAACCCGCGACACGTTGCACGGCAGCCGGTTGCCCAGTCACCGCACCAACCGTGCAGTCGAATATTGTCATACTTATATTGTCTACTGTGTGTCTACTTTCATGTACCTACATGGTACATGAAATGATGATAAATATTGATGGAAATGAAATGATAAATATTCTTCTGTCCCTATTGACCTCTCGATCCCTATTACCGGTTTTTTATTGTATAAGCCACACTTACGTTACTACGAGCTTTACGTTTAACGACATTTGCATCAAAACGATTTGGACTGTGATTGGTTGGTTCCTTGACGGCCAATCAGAGAGAACGCAGTGTCGTTTCAATCTCCTAAAATGTAAAACACGTTCGTACACTAAGTCCTTAGCTTTGACGGTCTCCTTCTGAACTATTGACCTATTCAGCCTTCTACATAAGATTTTTCATAATATTCACAATTAGCGCTGGCGATCCCAGTGTATAACGTTGACGTTTACCATATTCGTTTATACTTTTAATAGATCATAGTGAATTCACTTATCAGTGAATTCGTCGTGGATAAATCTCTCCGTATTCTTATATAATAGTTACTTTTCCATTTACGGAGAGGTTTTCACATAGTAGTGGAATGTAGTAGTAAATAAATAAATAAATAAATAAAATATTATTCATAATTCAAAAATGCAAAATACAAAATATGTTTCAAGTAAGTAAAATTGATCTCATAAAGTTAGATGCCTGCACTAGGACAATCCTGTATCGCAGGCGAAAGGAGCTCTATACATTACTTTTGTAGGAAGACATCTTGTTTCTAAAAACGTAACTACATACTTATCATTATGCAACAGTAAACAATATTATTATTTTAATAAACATACATACATACAAAATAAAACCTCATACTCTGTATTCTCATAAGAGATAGGCAGAGGTGCATTTTTAATTATTAAACGTGTGTAAACGAACGCTACCGAAAACGCAGAAGCAGTCGCAACGCTTACACTTACACCTTGTATTTATTTATTATGTAATTCAAGAACACGGTATTTGACAACTAGTCAAATTCAATACGTTTTTTGAACTGTCAAAAAACGACAGTTTTCTATGAATTTTGTACGAGATTGTGAATTTTGGTTAGGTTTTTCAGCGTCAATCAGCGTACTTATTTCTAAACAAATTGCTGGAAAAATACTAAAATTAAGGTGGTCATAAAATCGATTAATGAAAGTGAGTATTTATAGTAAATGTATATTACTTTCTTATTATATTACAGGTGTGGTTTATTTGGTTGTTCCTGCTTGCCATACTGTATGGATTCCTGCCGTAATGCTGACCACTACTGCCCCAACTGCCAGGCTTATTTGGGTACTTATAGACGATAAATTTCATTCAACGGAAACATTATGCATTGTTCTTAAATATCTGTTACCTTTCATGTTACCTTTGTATTATAATTACTTTTGAATTTTTGATAAAAGTTTTATGGTTTACTCACATTACTATTCGACGATGTTACTCGAATAGTTTCAAGTCACGCCTGGGGTCTATAAATTGACAGACGCACGACGCTCAATTTTTCTTTTAAATTTTTGGAGAAACATGTATCAGCACGAATGGGCCGTATGGACCGGAGTGATACCACGGCCTCACAGAAAACCAACGTGAAAAAACGCTTGCAATGTGTTTCGTCGTGTGAGTAAGGTTACAGGAGGCCCAATTACCCTTCCCTCTCCAATGTACTCAAGCCCAGAATCCCTCACAATCCTCAAATTCCCAATTCCCAAAAGGCCCGTAACGCATTTGTAACGCTCTTGGTGTTTCGGGTGTCTATGGGAGACGCCGATTGCTTACCATCAGGTGATCCGTCTGCTCGTTTATCCTATAAAACATTCGTTGGTTAAAAACCTCGTAACCTTGTCGAATAGTTATGAGAGTGAACCTTACAGCTTAATAAATTAAGTGTCGTCAGTGTTTTCTACTTGCATTATAATATTCTTTATTACTTATAGTTTAAGGTTACTTTTGGAGTATTCTAAGCCACCCTTAACCAGATGTTATCACATTACCGATCTGTTAAAATCCCTTTTATAAAATCATCGTAGCTTCAATACTGGTAACGTTAAACATTTATAGTAGATTGTTTATAAAATGTATGTATAAAATTAAGGCCCGATTTTTCAATCAACATATAACTACTTACATTTTAACTGTAGAATAAAACTGACATTTGATAGTTTTTATTATATGTAGCTGAATTGTCAAATATGTATTTAAAGTATACCTCTGAAAAAAATTTGGTGTTCGTATAATGGGCCATTGGAGATTTTTGGAGAAATAGTGCCTTGTTTTCAGTCGACCTCTTTTGAGTGATAATAATACGATTAGTTTAATTTGCTGGCACATGTGTTTAAGGGAATATAGTCCAGACCGTAGACATTCATGCTATCATGTAATGCTATTATGATATGATGCATTATTTTTGATAATTACTACCTACTACTATTACTTTACTTATACTCAAAAAATGTATGAACCACTTTTATATTAAACTTGTTTGGTATTAATTTGTTGTTTATTTAACCCTTAACAACCCACAAGTGTCTCGCGGACACATTTTTGCGTTTATGTTTTCATAAAAACTAAAGTTTTTATTTTTATGAATCGGCTTTTTATCTAATTTATCGCCAATGTTTTACGAATCTAAGTGTGCAATGAAAATATTTGTAACGTGAATAATTTATTATTTTTGGTCAATAAACGAAAATAGTACTTCATCAAACCAGAAGTGTCCAACAGACACAATATCATTTTATTTGATTCAAGTGTGAAGGTAGATTGTTTTTATTTACATTTACTTATAATCTTATGGTGTCGGGTGGGCAATAGCGGTTGCTAGACCTTTATTTGTGTTATAATCATAGTTTTTGTAATCGTATCACGTATCAGTAATCAGAAACTCTTGTCAAAAGGTAGTCATGTTCTAATTCGTTTTTATTGAATGATATCGCTAAACGGCAACTAATACAAAGTGAAATTCAGCGTGCCCTTCTTGAAAGTAACGATGAAAACATTTTTGTCCATGAGTGCGATAGTGATGATGAGAATTTTGCTGTTGACAGCTGTTCTGATAGTGAAAGTAATGGCACAGAACCAGCATCTGAAAACGATGATGAACAATTATGGAATAACAGGGATGATGATTACAAGAATACATCTCAATTTACACTTATATAGGAAGAGATAACAACTTGGAAATCAGAACATAACAGGCAAAACCGAACGCCTCGACACAACATAATTCGCGGTGGTATCCATAAGGTGATTATTCCTACTCCGGTCCAAATTATTATCCGATAGATCCGATAGACAGTTTCTGCCTTTTTTCGACGATCACGTATTACAAATAATAGTAAAATATACCAATACTGAAGGGCTTAGAGTTTTACAAAATCGATGGAATTCAACAGATATAAAATCGAAATGCAAGTACTCCGAAGTCTTTTATTGACTATAAGCGTCAATAAACAGGGAGGTGTAGATTTTAGAATACTGGTACCCTATCTTTGGCAATCCAATATATCAAGCTATAATGGAAAAAGGAAGAAGTTTTGTTATATTTTCCCTTCAAAATTATCAAGGGCTTCTAAACAGTGTTGTGCTGCCCACAAACGCAATACATGCACTGAATATTCTGAAAAAAAATAATTGTAATATCTATAAGTAAATAAGTGTAAATACACATTACTTAAATACATTACACTCTTTTTCATTCAAAATATCTTTCTTTTCTTTCATCATACCTTACATTTATAAAATGTGTCTGTTGGACACTACTGGTCAGTTACGTCACAAAAGCATTCTGGATAGTTAAGGGTTAATTTAGTTGGTCCCATTTATCCCCAAACGGTCACCGATGACGGATGTCCACTTACTATACCTGTTATAAACCTTATTTCCGACGTTTAGAGACTACTTTTGTATGAACAAAATTAGGGAATGATTTTCAACAGGCCAAGAAATATTGTACTGTCTAATTTTGTCTATGTAGTCAGGTTATCTTGTAGGGAGTTTTGGGTATGATTCGTTGGAAGTTTGTCATTCAAATAATAGCATGGACTTTGTAACTTCCACCACACTCACTATTACTAGAACCTCTGCCGACCTTTTCTGAGAAAGAATGACGTCATATTATAACCATAATATAAAACAGAAAGTACCAATCCTACCTAGTTTATACAAAGGTACTTGACTGAACCAAATCCATAATGATTAATCGAGTGATTATATCGCCTGGCGTATAGAATATAGCTATATTTTCCAGTAAAACGTGCTCGTTTTGAACGTGATAAATAATGTGAACAAGGTGAATGGACTTTGTCAAAATATGAACCGAACCATTTTTAAAGAAAAACCATCGTTAATGAAACTAAATCAGCTCGATTCTAGAGTCAGTTTTCTGATCGGAATAGTTTGTCGTAGGTGAAAATACAATTAGATGTTGGGCTATTTCAAAACATTTTAGCAAATCCTAAAACGAAGATTGCAAAGGGATTGTGTGATTTGGTGAGAGTGACATAGCTTTTCTTTTATTTATCTCATACCTTGTTAATGATTCCCTTTCATTTATAGAGTATATTTAAACTGTCAAACACCGCGAGGACACCGGTGATCGCAACCTATTGTTCTTTGGTTGTGTCTATGGTGACGGTACTTAACGAGTTAATTAGATAAGGTACGATGGGGTTGACGTATCCATATGGACAAAAACCCCCTAAAATAATAAAATTAAAGAGAATAAAGAAAAAAAAGGTGAAAATACTTAAGCACAAGTACATATACTATAAACAAAATGTAAAAAAAATTATATTGTTGTCAGAACTAAAATTCAAACTCAGGTTCCTATTATATCATTAACTACAATGAACAAACAATCACGCAGATTTCTTCCTAGAAACTGACTAAGAAAAAAACATAACACTCTTTTTTGGACAGTCGCGTAAAAACTAAATAATGGACGAAGCATTTCCTTGTTTTTAACCTTGACCTCGGATTTGGACGCAGGCGCGGATGAGTGAACAGTGACGTCACAATAGGTGCGTAGTTCCCTACCCTTAGCTGTGCTGTTTATCTTGTGTCATGCCATGCGTCATTCTGACCTGCTTGATGTATTGGCTTAGGTGCCTAATGATTTGTTTTTGTAGGACAAATAAGTGAAATGGGACCTTAGGTACATAGTTCATTTTGTTTTTGATTTTATTTGTTACATATTACGCTTTTGTTTTTGGTCTACGAAGAGATGTACTTATAAAATATTAGCTTCTGCTTTTGGACAGTAAGGGACACTGTCCACGTTACGTCATTTGACGAATGGATGCATCCTTGACAAACAATATGTATGCACTATGCAGCCTACAAATGATAAATGATTGCATCTTGCTTAATAATAATGAATCGGCGACGTTAAACTTGTCTATTATTTGTGAAAAATGTATGCATTCGTCAAATGACGCAACGTGGACAGTAGCCTAAGGGCTACCCACTATTATAAGCAAACTCATAACTTAAGAGTTATGAGTTTGCTTATAATAGTGGGTTAACCCTCCTCTTAATCCCCTATCATAAATAATCTATAACATTTGTTCATACAAAGGTCTATGGTTTAATCATTTATTCCGATAAAAACTTAAATAAAATAAAACTAAATATTACTAAATTAAATATATACAGCTTAAAGTGAAAATTAATGAAAATAAAACTAAACACATTTACATATAGCATCGAAAATATCGTCCGCATCGACGTCAGTGGGGAAGGCTGGCAGCATTGCCACGTTGTATGGCAATGCTTCTCTCCGTAATCTTACCGTAACCGTAACCTCTGACCGTATTATAAACAAAATACCGTATCATATAAAGGTAGTCTCTAAATATCGGAAATAAGGTCTAAGAAAGGATAATGGAGTAAGTAGAGAGCAGTCACCGGTGACCGCTTGGGGACTAGGCAGCTTAATCAGGTCAATTCCGTACTATTACTGAGAATTTTAGTAAATCGGGAATTTTTAAGAATTATTTATATGTCTTGTTAGAACAATAACCTGATTACTTTTCGTCGATATTCAACAATGATATGGGACCTTAGTCACGCGATAGATTGGGCTTCATTGTTCTAGATCTTATTTGTAATCTTCATTTATGTATTGTTTGCCAGGCAAATCCGGTCTAGGGATTCCCATTTATTACCATTTTTATTTAAAACCTTATCGGAGATTATTTTTCAGATGGTATATTAATCACAGAATAGATTTGGTATTTTAAAGTAGGTACTAAATGACATTGAGTTTGTTTATTGCAGTGATTATCGTATCTGGAAGTATATTTTAAATATTTGCATAGGTACCTAATTAAAAATCATCATCGCTTACCACCAGGCTAGACATAACATCACGCTTTTTATCCCCAAACGGGTAGGCAGAGGTGCACATTATGCCACTACAATATAACATTCACTTTTCACTATTTTTATGTTATGAGTCCCATGTAATAGGGGGTGAGTCTATTGCCATATACCGGGCACAATTCCAAAAACAACTGAAGGTTAGACAATAATACTCGTAATATTACGATAGAAATCGTTAAATAATTCTAAATCAATAGGTATGAACCCGGCCATGATCTATGAGCTACAAATAGCTTTAGTTTGTGAGCATCAAAGTAAATTAGGATACTAGCAATTACGTCATCTATAGTCTATACTCTATATGTAGGTACTGAGGAGCAGTCTGGTCGCACCGTATGGACGCGACGTACGACGAACCACGCATTATGTTCTTCTTTCAAATTTATTTGACTTTTTTTTATCTATGAAAACACATTAAATGTGACAAGGCCGTTACACACTACACATGTGAACGTGTCACCTAATTGCTTTATAATTATTTAAATAACGAACCACTTTTAACCATTCGAATGCCTGTATATGAGATACAATAGAAAATACATTGGGTCTCGCGTGGATCCACGTTTTTAGACACACGACGGGTAAAGGCATGTAACACAATATAAATTTTATGAAATTAAACAAAATAGGTACTACTGTAACCTAATAAAACTCATTCAGTACAATTAATTAAAATGAAAATTAATATTCCAATGAAACGGGTTATCGGTAAGATTTAATCAAGTTTTACAAATAACAGCAGGTACTTTCTACTAAAGAAATAAGGTTAATAACTTTCATAATTAATTGACTAAGAATTCCAGTAAGTTTAATATCAACGAACCCGGTATTCTGATTTATATAGAGACGTGTCGTTTTGATAATAAAGGAAAGAATTATAGGAAAAAGAATGACTTCTTACCACGCAGACTTTATACTTTATATTATGAACTAAAGGAGGACAGAATAATTCTTATACATTTTATATGCATTGATAAATAAAATGATAATTATTATTCTTAGTTAATGGTTTGAAATCTTAGTAAAATGTTTGCAGAAATGTGGCTGTGAAAAATGGGTGTTGCATTTAAAACCAAGTTCTTTAAATTGTAATCGTCCTTAGTTCAGTATTGCAAAAAGAAAAAGCTATCAACAGCACAGCCTACTAAAATTGGGGCAACTTCACGATGTAGTACGAAATACAATGCAACAGGTAAGTTGTTTATATTTACCAATGTACTGTATAGTCTATATACACTATACGAGTTACTCATTGGCTTTGACATTGAAATAATTTCCTAGATCACTTTTTCACCAATTCATAAAGACTTCAATTTGATAAAAATTCGAGCGTGGGCGATAATTTCGCCTAGTGTGTGCCGATTGTAACCGATGACTCACTTTGGTTGTAAGTACTAATGAAATGAATCGTGCTCAGCCGACTATAGTGTGCTGAGCTGGTGGGCACTCAGTTGCGTGTTGATATTGCCAGAGGCTACCCGCACCATTTTGTTATCAAACAAGTGTAATTTCTGTTGTGTTCTTGGTTTTATAGGTAAGTGTGTGTTTATATTACCTAGTTTTACATACCAACTGTTGAATTAGTTATTCGTTTTTTATGTGTCTACTATTTTTTTCTATATAAATAACTTCTTACCGAGTGTTATTTACGGAAATGTTCGAGGCTATTGCATCTTGCGTTCGTCTGTTAAGTAATTTTTTGTAGACGGTTTCGTAAATGTTGTTCCTAGTGAATGTTCTATTAGAATTATCGAATTTATGAAAGGTTGAAGTGCGTTAAATTTTAAGCAATAATTTTGTGTTATTTATTAGTTAGTCAGGAGTGCCGCTAAGTGATTAAAATATATGAAATTAACGTACCGACATGTTACTAACTCGACTTGAAGCAACTCAAGGTCACGAGTGCCGTCACTATTCTGACACAAAAATGTTCTTTACAATGGGATCTGTAGCTCTATATAACTAGATGCGATATCGTTTGTGTATTCTAAAATGTACCTAATGTGTTTGATACACGTGTTATAGCTACAGGTTTGTACATAACATAGGCATGCCAGACGCCGTCGAATACCGATTAAAATACCCAGCAAAAACCAGACTCTTCAACCTTCTAGTGTAATCGTGACGTAGATACTTTTATATCTACGTAGGTATAGTATCAAAACACAATTATCTACATTTTTCTGTTCGGAACGATATTTATTATCATTATCATTTGACGGTAAATGCGTGCTATTCCGAGCAGCATATTATGTGTTATATTGGTCGAATATCAGGAATTAGAAAGTTTATTTTGATAATTTTATCGCTGATGTTATTCTAGTTGGTTTTAGTCTGATCACAGCATTAAATTATTTTGTCTAACTAGACGAAATTGAGTGTAGATCAAATCATTTGTTAAGAGTACTTTAGCGACAACAACCCGATATTTTTTGGAGGTGAAAACAATTGGGCGTGCCTTAGTGTGATTACAAACGTGTCGATATTTGTGTAAAAAATCCATTCCATATGCTAGGATTTAGAATTGTACTTCACATTCTTGGAAATATTCTTTAAATTACAGACTAGCATTAGCTTCGACAAATAAAAGTTACTTCACTGTCAACTAACAGTCTACAGCTACATTCAAACCTAACAAAATATCTAAGCATTTTTTATTGGATCATTACCTCTTTTACTTTAACCGTATGTAATACGGAAAGTTTTAGGTTCAAATTGTAAGCCTTTGGATACACGTTTCTTTCAAACATCAATAATGGATTTTAAACCATCACCTTGGGACCTTCATGAGGTCATTGGCACATACAGGTGACACGCGTGCCTGTATATACTACCTATAATTTTTTGTTGCCGATGGCCGAGTGGTCGCAAGTGCGACTGGCTAGGAGTCTCGGGTTCGATTCATGGGTCGGGCAATCTATTACTGGGTTTTTAAAAAAATCTCAGTAGTAAAATGGAGTCTGGAATTGTGCCCGATATATGACAATAGGCTGACTCCCTATTACATGGAACTCATAACATAAATAGTGAAAACTGGGTGTTACATTTTTACTGTGGCATAATGTACACCTCTGCCTACCCCTTCCGGGATAAAAGGCGCGATGTTATGTTATGTTATTTTTTAGTTACCATTGGCAAGTTACCGATACCTATGGACGCCATGACAGTTAATAATCTTTGTGTTGTCAACAACATATATTATTATTATTCCAAGTACAGATTCTAGCAAATGAACCTGCCCCTTCCTGTCAAATTCCTGTATTGTATTTTCAACTTTACTGTTTTGACAGTAAGTCGAAAATCACTGACTGGTGTTTGTATATAATGTTGTTAATAACTAGGTACTTGGTACACTTGTACTTAGAAAGTATATAGATACCTACAAACATTCCAATTCTTGGAACTTTTAGAGGACCGGTTGTTAAGATTTGTAATAAAAGTGTGTTTATATTAGTCATGTATTTCCTTCTAATATATAGGCATATTTATATATAACTAATTTATAAGTGTCTTTGAATGTTAAAAGATGATAATTTTTGACGGAGCACGTACTTCTAGAGGTTACAATTTAGACAAACAAATAACTGAATTTTAACCGCTTGACTGCCGGTATATAAGACACAATAGAAAATGCATTGTGTCTCGCGTAGATCTACGTTTCGGCACACGACGGGTTAATATTTATGTAGTCAGTGAATGTAAATTCACGAGATAATGTAATATAATAATAATGAGATGATAAGAGTTAGCTTAATTATTATCTTATCACTACATAGTATAAAACAAAGTCGCTATCCGCCGTCCGTCTGTCTCTATGTATGCTTAGATCTTTAAAACTACGCAACGAATTTTGATTTTTTTTAATAGATAGAGTGATTTTTAAGTAAGGTTTATATGCATAATACATGCAAACTGCACCCGTACGAAGCCGGGGCGGGTCGCTGGTTATATTACCTCTATATTGCATTATATAAAGCAGAAGAGTTTGTTTATTTGAACGCACTTATCTCGGGAAGTGCTCGTCCAATTTGAAAAATTCTTTTTGTGTTGGATAATGCATTTATTGAGAAAGGTTATGAAACATCACGCTACAATCAATAGGAGCCGAGCAGAGCGGGTGAAAGCGGGTGCGGAAGTAGTTAGTGTAGATGTATGTAAAGTGTCATAGTTTAAATAGAGGGATTAAAGATGTCTATGGTTTCTGCCTACCTTTATTGAGTAAAGGTGTGAATTTACATAATATATATGTTTCCAAACTCCTTTGAAATATAATATTAAGGTATTGTCTTGTCTTGTCTAAGTCTTGGGCTATTGTTACTTAATTTTAATAATATTCTACTTTTATCGTTATGAATGGATCTCGGATGGAAAATGGAATTTTAATGGAACTAATCCATTAGGCTCGTTATTTCGTTGATGAAAAGTATTTAATATATATTTTTAGGTTAGAAGTAATGTCTGTGTAAGATGTTAAGATTATTCTTTTTGTAATGTAATGATGTAGTAACATAATATGAAACAGTAACATAATATTAAGTATGGGAGAGCCATGCTTGAGCACGAATGGGCCGGCTCGACCGGAGTGATACCACGGCCTCACAGAAAACCGACGTGACTGTGACGTGACGTGTTTAGAGTACATAATATCAGTTAACTTTAAAATTGCTTTGCCTAATCGTCCATTTTACTACTAAATAAAATAAATAAATAAAATAAATAAATAAAATAAATAAAATAAATAAAATAAATAAAATAAATAAAATAAATAAAATAAATAAAATAAATAAAATAAATAAAATAAATAAATAAAATAAATAAATAAATAAACTTTACAAATTAATTATATCACAACAAAAACATTGAAAACGAATATACATATTATTAAATGTGAATCTATTAATAAAGTTTATAAATACAAAGGCACGTGGTCCGAATCACGTGTTAAAACTAGTTCTTTTTTTATAATTGTGCCAACAATTTAAACATAATTAAGGTTGAAATAAATATAGAGAAACAACAGTCGCAGTTAATTGAATTGGATGGCATGACGTCATGTTACAGTTTCCTCCCACTAGTGACGTCATCGTTGTATGTACTTTACTACGGACAAGCCTTAAAAGTATCATAGGGAAAAGCTCACAACACACAGGGTGATTTCTTCGTAGGTTCTGTTTATGTTATATGTTGAAGAAAGGGCGAAGATGTTTTACTTTTTGAAATTCAAAGCAATTTTTATTTTTGTTTTCTATTTATTTTTGTGTTTGAATGTTTGTCCATGGCGAATAAATTTATTTTTCTTTCTTTCTTTCTTTCTCTTCAACTATTATAAAGTATGGGATCGAGTTTCATTTATGGAACTATCATTAAGAGTACAGGTTTATGTCTCATAACATCACACATGTTCTAGACATAAAAAAACTGAAGATAATTATGTATTCATTAATAGTATAGTATTTATATAGATTAATAGTAGTTATACAGTAACTTTATTGTATAATATAAGAGCGCCACTATCGCCAACAAACTGTTATACCTCTACAGTTTGGCGATTTTTGATGTATATAAACTAATTTATGTATAATTTTTGTGAATAAATACGTTAAAAAAAAACAAAGTTGTTAAAGTTGACATCAACGTGAACCAACCATGATAGTCTTCTACTGAACTAGATGCCTCTTCTACATAAAAGAGTTCGCAGACTGGTTGAATATTTAAATTAAATAGTTCTATCAATAGGTCTATCAAAGAGTGCTGCTATCCGATCTCAGTCAATTGTCTAGTTCCTTAAACAGCTTTTATATCATAAAATGGAAGAGTAGCGGGACTGCCTCTTAGGCGGAGCGGTCGCAAGTGTGGCTGCCAGGCAAGGGGTATCGGGTTCAATTCCCGAGTCGAGCAAAGAATTACAAATTTAAAAAAAAATCTCTGTGTGGAATGTGTCCGGTATATGGCAATAGGCTCACCCCCTAATATATGGGACTCATAACATAAATAGTGAAAAGTGGATGTAACATTGTATAGTGGCATTAAATGCTCGTAATGAGCACCTCGGCCTACTCATTCGTGGATAAAAAGGCGTGATGTTATGTTATGTAATGAAAGACTAGCAGCCATAAACATAAACTGTGAGAGTATAATTCAGTTGTAAATTGTGTGAATAAAAACGACATGTTTAATTCACGAATGTGTTCAAGGTCAAAATAGTTTGTGTAGTCACGTCAATACAGTGCACTGAAACTGAAGCGGAAATAAATGTTTACTTTAGTTACGTCAAGTATAAAATTTTAAGTTATAATGTAGAATCACGTATAATGATTATAGACATTTTTTTATGGCATAAGCCGGTAAACGAGCAGACGGATCACCTGATGGTAAGCAATCGGCGTCGCCTATGGACACCTGGAACACCAGAGGCGTTACAAGTGCGTTACCGGCCTTTTGGGGAATTAGGAGTTTGAGAATCGTTGGGGATTCAGGAATTGGGGAGATTGGGGAAGTGGAGGGTAATTGGGCTTCCGGTAACCTCACTCACGACGAAACACAACGCAAGCGTTGCTTCACGTCGGTTTTCTGTGAGGCCGTGGTATCAATCCGGTCGAGCCGGCCTATTCGTGCCGATGCACGAATGGGCCGAAGCATGGCTCACCTACGCTTGACATAATATAATACTTAATTTAATTTTATAATGAAGTGGAAAGTTTTAGAAAGTAAGTAAGAGGAAAAGTAACGTATTTATTTAATAAAATCCTAGATTGTGATAAACCTTCTTGCTGGAAAAGTAATAATATATTGATTAGATTCATTGATATCATCCTTCCGGGTTATAATCTAAGCATTTACCATTCCTAGTATTTGTAGGTGCAAATGTTACTTGCGTGTATATATTAGGTACATACTTCCTACTACATTACGTTCATATTTCTTTTATCACCTTTTTTTATGAAATGGGACTGAAGTTTGGCCACTATCTCGCCTGGGCACGCACGTCGACCCATAAGCAACCTATTAGGAAATAACGTTTCTTTTATAATATTTGTATTTTAACTTTCGTGAGACATACTAAATAAATTGCTGCGCGCTGCTACCCCAGTAGCAGCGCGACAGTCGCCGCATCGCGGGTCGCGAAATGCTGCTCATGAATATGAGCCTCTAGCATGGCTTTAAACTTGTCGAGTTCCTCGTCAAATTACGTGAGTAAGCCGAGAACATAATAGTTTCTTTTATAACTTGAACAATGTACTTGAAGTATAACATAGTAGAAATACACAGAGAGATGCAAATAAATAAAAATATATGACTAATAACTTTATCAGTCAGTGTTTTATTCATGATTTGATTACTCGCCGGACGGATAGCATCTCATATTCGCCGGTGATTAGACTCAGGGGTTTTCCGGCCAGATATGATAAAAACACAATGATCAATTCATTATACTTACATAGTATTATGGCTGATGTTTTCTAAAGGGCTGGGTAGAAGTTCACTTACCTCACTGCCGTCAGATAATTATAACATAACATAACATCACGCCTTTTATCCCCGAAGGGGTAGGCAGAGGTGCACATTATGCCATTGTATAATGTAACACCCACTTTTCACTATTTATATTATGAGCCACATGTAGTAGGGGGTGAGCCTATTGCCATAGACCGCGCACAATTCCAGACTCCGTGCTATTACTGAGATTTTAACCCAATAATACTTTGCCCGACCCGGGAACTGAACCCGAGACCCTTTGCTCGGCAGTCGACTTAGCGACCACTCGGCTAACTAGGCAGTCTCAAATAATTATACGTTTTGATAAAATAAAGCGAAGTATTAATAATAGCTAAACTCCATCTGTTTGTAGATAGACCAATTATTGATTGTAGTTATAACGGATTAGTATGATTATACTTGTCGCGGAGAACCTAACGGGTAACCGGGGCTCCGGCTCGACGTGCAGGAGAAGGAACGGGGTGGTTTTTAGTCAGTAAGAGTCTGACACTCCCTCCCGCCTCACCCAGGCGAGAGCAGTCATTCGATGATTTTCCCCCCTTAAAAAAAAGTATGATTATACTTATTTTTTTATATACTTACTAGGTCGAATTTTCTATTCAACGAATCTCAAAGGTAAATAAAATGGATTGTATGAATTGATTGATCGGTAAGGAAACCGACTTAGTTACTCCATAATCAATGATGTTTGTCAGTTATAGCTATGTACATACATACATACATACATAACATCACGCCTTTTATCCCCGAAGGGGTAAGCAGAGGTGTACATTACGGCACTTAATGCCACTGTACAATGTAACACCAACTTTTCACTATTTATGTTATGAGTCCCATGTAATAGGGGGTGAGCCTATTGTCATATACCGGGCACATTTCCAGACTCCGTGCTACTACTGAGATTTTTTTTAAAACCCAGTAATACTTTGCCCGACCCGGGGATTGAACCCGAGACCCCTTGCCCGGCAGTCGCACTGGTGACCACTCGGCCAATGAGGCAGTCTAAATATTATGAACGTACAAAATAACATAACGTAACCTCCGGTGTTTTTGTAATAGTTTACGATAAGTGAGTCTTATCTGAAATTTCCGTTTTGACTCATATCCGAAATATTTATATTGATAAAAAAATATACTGAAATTGCAAACCCTTGAGCTAATACGCTAAATTTTGAAATGGGTAAAAAGATGTAACTTGTTCTGAATTGAATATCATTCCACTAGCGACGCTGTTTTTTTAATTTGTCGTTTATAAGGAAAATAATATATTTTTCTAACAGAATATCTTCCTGTCTTATTTACGTACATGTCTTGATGATGGTCTAACATTTTCCTTATAATAATTAACTCAATACATAGCATGCTTCACTTTGAATAGGTTTTTTTATGGAATCGAAAACTATCAAGCACACGTATTACTTGCTAGTAAGCAATTAACGCCGCCCACGTATTGAAGTAATGGTTCGGGCCGCGAAGGAATAGTTCAGCACTTCTTTTAAGAATAAAATAGTTTCTGAAAATATGAAACTCAAGTTTGTCTTCAAGCGGTTGCCGGTGACCACTCTCCACTAACTACCTCTACAATATAGACCTTATTTCCTATGTTTAGAGACTACTTTGTATGAACAAATTTAGAGAATGATATTTCAACAGGTTAAATAAGTGTGATTAAGAAGTGGTTAGAAATAAATTTCTATTTAATATTTATACTCGCATATCCATAAAATATATAGTAAGTACCTATTTCTTATTTTCCTTCTCACTTGTATTGACTAGAAATTGTATCTAAAGAAGTTTTCGTTAAACTGTCTAATCTCAACCAACACAATTATTAGTTTACTTAAAAACTTTAACTATTTGTCAAATACTGTAATTGTAATACAAAGTCCCATTTCCAAGTTTGTTTTAGTAGTGAAGAGTACAAAAATGTTGAATACTTTTTATTTTATTCTGAAATCGAAACCGATGAGATAGAATAGACCACTCTTGCATATATATGTATAATATTTTTGCATAAGGTGAAGACCTTCATGGTGGCTATGGCACCCACACGCATGAAGCGCTTCACTTCACGCTTCTTTAGCAGTTCGTTAAGGAGTGGAATTCTTTGCCAGAGTCTGTGTTGAGTGTAACGAGTAGAACCTGGGTACAACATGGGTAGACGCCCAAGTTGTACTTGAAGACTCCAGATTCAAGCCCTGATCTAAGCCTCGAGTGAGTAGGTTGATTATGTGCAGGCGTGCTCCATCGTAGGCCGCATTGTCACTTATAATCAGGCGAGATAGCGGCCGAGTGCCCACTTATTACCAATAAAAAAGCGATGCAGCCTACAATAAATGAAATGAAAACTGCACATTTACTAAGAGATACAAGTGACCAAATTATCTTATCACAAAATTACACTTGTACTTCTAATAAAGATGACGTTATACAACTGATATGGAGTTAAATGCTAAATTGGATTATATTGGATTAGTCTTGACCCGCATTAAACTTTTACAAAACGTGATGTAAATTCGGGCATTCCCCTATTGGGTAATTAAAGAATTTATAGTACTGATAGTGTATTACTGAAGTTATGCACATTATGATAAGTTAGATTGTAAACGAAATTGAATTATTGACTTGATCGCGGGCAAGGCACTTCGGTGCCAACTTAGCTTCGTAATCGCACCTATGTTTAGGGTGTTAACTTACTCTGCGCCAACTAATTGACTATGGAGACACAACTGAAATAAGATCAAACATTATGTCTATCATTGCCATACTATCGAAAAGTCTTCCTCTATACAGCAGTAGAGAAACAATAGTTATCATGATGTAATAATAAAAATCTCAATTACTCAATTTCCTTTCTATTTCTTTACAGAAAATCAACATGAACATCGTACAAGTTGGACCTGAACCCTCCCAGATCACATGCCCATCGTGCCGAGCCACGATCGTCACGAGGGTCGAGAGGAAGTCCACGACGAAGACACACGTCATCGCCCTTCTTCTGTGTTTGTTCCTGTAAGTATACTTTTTTTAGAAATTCAACTCTGATCATTAAGTTTTAAAGTTTAGATTTGAGATAGAGAATAGAAAATGATGCTAGTTAGTTAAAAGTTTAATTTGGTAATATGTAGGGAGTAGGTATATCTACGTCTGACCATTTGCAATAAATAGTTCAGATATTTTAGATTCCTTTCAGCGATAGGCTCGCGTATCAGTAGACTTTAAGTAAATAATTAAATGTGTATAAGTACTATAAAGTATATACCATCAAAAAATTTCGGAGAAAAATAGTATTGCAGTTGGAGTAGTATTACGGAATTCGTAATACATTTAAGTGTGGGAGAACCACGCTTCGGCACGAATATACCAGCTCGACCGAAGTGATATTACAGCCTCACAGGAAACTGACGTGAAACAACGCTTGCGTTGTGTTTCGTCGTGTGAGTGAGGGTACCGGAGGCCCAATTACATCATCATCATTTCTGCATAAGAGATTGATTTGCAACTATGTACTAACTGAGTTAGGTTTTGAATGCACTAAAAGAGTGTAGTCATGATAAATTTTCCGTAACATTACAATTACAGCAGCTACAAACCATATTCTCGTTACTACCTAAGCATATCTCCTTTTATGTACTTAATTTGTTATCTCAATCCAAACAGTTTTGTGTGATAACAATATTTACTGCGACGCTAATTTTATACAAAAGCCAAACAAATGAACAGAAAACTTATTTTGAATTAGGTTCTGAGAATATCTTCCGTAAAATGCAGTAACCCTAGCAAGATGCTTGATATTACAGACAGGTATATATATATATATTATTTTTGTTCGTTTACATTTTTATATACAATATGTAATAGAAAAGACATAGGATGTAACAGATATTACGATATATATATATAATTTATGGTATTAATATGCCGATATTATAATATGAAGATTTTTATATATTTTTGCCATATTCGCCTTTATTCTTTAGTAATACTATTTGTATGCAATTACGTAGATATTATATCAGCATTGGTCAAGGGAAAGTGAAAGACTAAATATGACGGAAATATCTCAAGGCATATGACCTGTATGACAAACCATTGACCACTGAAATATGACGCCTATCTTTCTCATAGTTAGGTACATTTTCTTGTGGGCAGGAAGAAACGTGTTTGTTTTCTGTTAACCTAAAGTTTATTGTTAACTTTTTATTTTGCTAGTTATCTCTAGTATTCTAAAAATTTTAAACTAAAACGCCAGAAATGTTAATCTAAAACTGAAAGCATCAAACATATATATATTTATATTTACATAATCAAGAATGACAACTACTGGGTACAACGAGCAACTAAAAATATCAACACTGCATCGTGAAACACTAAAATATGTTTTTATTGCAAACATTTAGGTATTTTCAGTATCATACGAGTAACACATACATTTGGTGATTACGCCAAAGTCTGGCTTTTAATCTATATATGAGAATTGCAGCTATTTTAAACGGTTACATCATTGGCTGTTGGACAATTAGAACATTCCATTTTAAGTTCTTTTGTGTGGGTTACGAAACGTTCGAAAATTTTGGTGACATATTTAGCGTCGTGTTTACGGAAAACTAGCTAAAATAGTTGTGTGAATGTCATATACAATATTAATAACTCTTATTTATTGGACAACAATAAAATATTAGGAAAATCTCTCGAAAATAGTTTAAATGTTTAAAGATTTTATGTCAAGTTGTTAGTATAAACTTATTAATGAAATTAATAAATTTCTTACTAAAATTGAGTTTGTGGACGATCAAACGGCACCTTAGCGCCAACTAGTGAGATATAAAAATATGTTAGTCACGTAACTAACGAGACAAGACATTAGAAACAGTCTATTGAACTTGACCTGACCTAGAGACGACCATTGTTTTACATCTTTTGTGATGTTAAAACCACCATTGTGTGACTTTAATTTGTTTTATTGAGGAGTAAATTGTTCAAGTGAATCAGTTTCTTTGCAATGCAATGTTTTAAATACTCCCGAAGAATATGTTAATTTATTAAAGACACCCTGTACAGAACGTTATTTACTAACAGGGGTATTCACAGCTAGTCAACTTAGCAAATATTTCTTCTATATGTTTAAAACAGTTTGAGATGAATTGAAATCTGTACATTAGTTACGAGATCCAAGGTCGATGATGTAATTGTGATTGCTTAAAACTGCAAAAGCATTTTCCATATTTGTTTCTAGGAAAAAATAACCAAAACGAATCATATTATAATTAAATCAATGGATTGGGGTTTTAATATTTTAAAATATTGACTGGAAAAAATAGGTTAGATTAGTTTACTTTTGATTAAGGAATAAGAAAAAAGAATTTCTTCAGAACATATTATTGTTGTATCTGGAATCTCATAATAATGATTTATTATATTATATTGAACAACACTAGCCCGTTTAGCTCTCGAATTGGTCTGCGTGGATTAGCGACATAGGCAGTTAATTAATAGATTATGCAGCTGTTTTTTGTATATAAGAAGTTTTTAAGATACAGATTTCTAATGGCAAAAGAATTTTTGAAATCGATTCAGTAGACTTTGTGTGATAATATTACAAGCATTCAGAAATGTTTCCTCTTTATAATATGAGCATAGACTGAACACAAACCAGTTTTAACATTCGTGTCCATAATACCAGACTATTGACGTGCCGATATTCACTGGTCTGACCTTCGTCTAACACTGACAACACAACATACATATATATAAGTACATACATCACCATATCAGATCGTTGACACGACAACTATATATTGGGAAACAATACATAGTTATTTTTTTTATAATAGGTACATAAAATAAAATATTAAGCCTTATTTTAATTGTTTTAAAATGAAACTATATGACATTCGGGCCTAACTTGTATTGTAAATAGATAATAATGCAAGAAAATGGCTTTATTTATTTATTTCATTTTTAATGTTTTGTTTATGTCTAGTAAGATCTAATGTAATAATAATAATATTGGAAGAGATGGGTATATAGAGGTATAAAATCCCCAAATTAATCTCTTGGGGATTAACATTTTACATAATTATGTTGTGCTTTGTTAGTTTAGTCCATGCCTACCTTTGATCAGATGTATGCATCTGTTCACTTTCGCTTATTGCGGTATTGAGGTTATCTAATAGCGTGCAATGTATTGGGCGTAAATTCAAACAACAACTTGCTTTTAACAGAATAATTTAAAAGCAAGTTGTAGTTTAATATATAAGAATATACATTACTAACATAACATCACGCCTTTTATCCCCTATTGGGTAGGCAGAGGTGCACACAGAAGTAACACCCACTTTTCACTATTTATGTTATGAGTCCCATGTAGTAGGGGGAGCCTATTGCCATACACCGGGCACATTTCCGGACTCTATGCTACTACTGTGACTTTGTTTAAAAACCCAGTAATGTGTGCCCGACCCGGGAATCGAACCCGAGACCCCTTGCCCGGCAGTCGCACTTGCGACCACTCGGCCAACGAGGCAGTCTTTGGCGTTACAGTAAAAGTTAAATGATTTTTTGTAATATTAACCTGAACTTCATAGTCTACATGAAATACTAATATCAAAGCTGAATAATTCAAATAAATCAAATCAATCATCGTAATAATGCAATAATCAGATGAAGTTGGGGAAGATTATGGGACCTCTATAGTTGTCTTCTTTCTACCCAGCCAAAGCACAGAGCTGTGTTCATGTATATCCATGTTATGTCGTTGTAAACTAATAATGTAAATGGCATGTCGTCACGCGTAGTACGGCCATTAATAGCTCAACTCTATAGCGTGGTGAAAATAATAGCTGATGTTCAAGGTTTCTACTGGGAACGACACTTTCTAATGTGCTGCACGTGTTGTTATGTATAAAATTTGCGGCATATATACGATTGTACGTACCTATCATGTTATCTACTATGTCTGTGACGAGACTATAGTAGCATAGGTAGTAAAAAAAACTTAAAATGTGCTCTCCTCTGGATCTCCGCTGGATCTCCCATAATGGGATCTCCATCAGCAAAATTTCCCAATATTTTATTTTCCTATAATGGGAGTCCTATTATAGGACAACATTTAGGTCGATAAACTCAATAGAACAATTTTATTATTTGTCTGATCCAATGATTTTTGCTATATGGCTAAGCTCGATGTAATTATTATTACATACCTATTTCATTGATTTTGTGCATTTCATATATCTCCTACTATTGGCTTTTTGGTTTCCTAAGGTATAAGAGAATTTTCTATAATCTTTACATTTGGATGGCCTACCATCTAACTGTTTAAGGACTGTGATCTCTAATAAATTAGTATTATGTACCGAAATTAAAACTGTCAGTTATGAGCCTCATTTTAAAACAGTTATTATTTTAGTTTAAAATACATTTCCTAAATCCAACGGAAATACTTATAGGACGTTGAGTCCGGTCGTACCCAAGGTCGGGCGATAATTGGCTTATCATTAGGTTTTATACCTATCTAACATTGTCTGTGTTTTTCCTGGATGAGTTAGAATATAGATTTATTTCTATTGTTAGATGACAAAAATCAACTAAATGAACGTCAGTAGTTTAATTTACGTTATTGACAGCACTGTCTGTCATATTGACGAAGTCTTCTGTCAAATGTGACAGATTAGTAAGTTTCCCGCGCTAAGAGTTGGAACGGGCATTCGATTTGGAAATTTTGAACAAGCATTATGCGGTTTTGGAATAAACTTTTTGCTGTATTGAAGTATTGAGATTTACTTAAAATTATATACTATTTATTTTTAGACTACTGTTTTGAGTCGTTTAGGGTCGAAACATATGGGGTCCCAGGGCACATTCGGGTTATAAAGAAATTACCCGTAGGCTAATCGATTCTACTCGTGACTAGAGGGCTGGCTATTTCTTCGGACGTAAAATAAACATCGCTATTCAACGTGGCACTGCTGCCAGTCGCCAGTCTTTTGGGTATCTTCTGGCTAAATATAACTACATTTCCATATTATGTTTTGGTATTTCGTATTAGAGTATTTATTGATTTCTTCTAATCGTGTGGCTGTAATTGCATCTGCTGAACCGGAGCAGGGATCTAGGGTCCATTTCCCAGGATACCAATGTATTGTTGTGTTTCCAGGTTTTAGTAGAATCACAGGGTTTTGTATTGTTTTGTGTTGTAATTTTTGACGTTTTTAAAGTACCAAATTACAGTTTAATTAAAATAATTCCGTTGACTTTGAATGTATTGGCCATGTGTATATATTTTTTTTTAAAACGTTTGCGTTCACAAACATTCACGTTCACATACACATCACACCCAGACCCGAGACAACAACTTTTGGATCACATAAAAGGGTTGCTCCATGCGGAAACTGAATACGCTGCACGTTGCGCGGCAGCCGGTTGCCCAGCCACCGCGGCAACCGTGCAGTCGTTAATGTACATAGCATAACTTGTGATTCAAAACTGTATTGTGTTTATGGCATATTGATGAAATTACGATAAGTTAATATAAATTTAATTAGTACTAACTACATTTCAATTGATGTATTGTATATTGTACAAATAAGGAACTCAATTTCATGGCCTACATAAATATTTGATCGATATAAAATGGTCAGGTGTAGATAACAAATGATAAATGTTATCACCAAACATATGGTTAAGTATATATTTATATATATAAAGGTTAGATAATAGTTATACTATGACAACACTCCTTTATTTGCGATGATGTATTTTATTTAACCCTTGTTTTTCGCCACTGTGCTTACTTTTCTTATTTTAACCTGTGAATTGTCTAAGTTAACGCGAGACATAACGTATTTTATATTGTGTCTCATATATCGACAGACAAGAGGTTAATAGACAATGTTATCTGATTTTAGGTAATATTGTGGTCTCCATGCTATAACATTTTTTTTATTAAAAGACGGGCTCAATACCCTGCGGCCAAAAATATAACTCAGTTTCATTCTCTAAAACTGTAGGTACTTGTAACCACTCGATTAACACACACACAGAACAAACAAAACTAGCAGAGGCCTTAGTACGAGTTTCTTTTTCGTTTAAATTAATCGTAACGAGTACGCGTTCGTTGCTCTGATTGGTTGCTTCATTGGCGCCGGCCAATCAGAACGCTGAACGCGTACTCGTTTCGAATACTAAAAGAAACTCGTACTAAGGCCTCTGTGTATAACTGATTTTACACGGAAAAGTTTATAGTTTATAGTCATATACCATTTCAGAGAAACCCTACCCATTGTAATTGTCTAATTTGTAATAGTGTTCCTAATGTTTATTCACATAGTTTTAACACTATCCGTTTGTTTGTTACAGTTGCTGGCCTTGTGTGTGCGTCCCCTACTGTGTGGACTCCTGCCAGAACGCCGACCACTATTGTCCCAACTGCAATTCCTACCTCGGTACCTACCAGCGATAGTCACCAAGAATCTACTTTCATACCTTTTCTTACTATTAAGTACCGTATAAGCGAATATTTACCGTATTTTGTACTTATGAAAGTTCAAAGTGTTCCATATAACGGAAAATACCCCATTGCATTGCGAATATAGATCTTGGGAGAGTAGAATGGGGGAATATGAATTAAATGTCAGAGCGGTCAATGCATGTATTCGTGTATTTTGTCTTTTATGTGTATATGTATAAATATAGTGCCTGCAAATGTTCAAATGTCGTGTGCCGCACAATTTTCTATATAAGTTTTATTATCGATGATTTAAAAGATGTTTGAGTTGAAGTTATAAAAAAACTCGGGTTTTTTTTTTAGTACGAAAACGTTCGTCTTCTAAATTGTCGATATAAGCTACTAATAGAAGAGCGTACGTGTTTCTACGCCTACCACAAATTGTTGATACTTCAGAGTATACGTAATTCGTTTGTTGGCACCGATTTTTCTATTAATACGAAACACACACCCTGAAATTTATCAATAAGAGCGATAAAAATATCAAGAGAGCGTTATTCAAGATTTCGTTATCGAAATTGTTGTTAACGATATCGTATCTGATTAAAGTGAATACATTTAATTTTATATTATTGATAAACATAATGTTCAAGGTACTCCAGGAACATTATTTAGAACAGATTATTTTATGATTGTTTTTTTTTTTCTAAAATTGTATATCCTTTTATTCGTCTATAAGACGAAGTATTTTGAGATTATGTATATTTTTTGTACTGTGTTCAGCACATTTCTATTAATATCTGCTTTGACACTGTTAGTCTAGCACAACTTTAAGTATTATGAACTTTATTTCAAAGAAATAATGTCGTTAATGCTTTGATATTATTTGTTATTAGCACAAAATTGCAATGCAAGTGAATTATATGTATGCTAGTTCGCTAGAGAAAGTGGTAAAAGCAGATTTAATTAATTATTTTAATGAACATTGTTATACATATTTTTAATAAACATTTTAATATCTATTTTTGGATTTTATTTTACACATTATATTGACTCGATTTTTCTCAAATAGTATTTTTAATAGGTTGTTTTAGCTGCTGCATTTTAGTTAAATAATTTAATGCTATTACCGATGCACCGATGCATGCTACTACGAAGGCAAACAGTTGATTATTTATCCTATAATTATTATAAAGTTGGGAAATACTATTAATAAAGTTGACAATGTCAATTTTAAATGCCTTGGTAATAAAATCTACAAATAAAAAACAACTAACTACATGTCAGAATTCTATTATTACCCAGCTAAAATAAGTACAAAAAAAGAAACGAAAGTCGTTTGTTTGTAAGTACTTCAATGTCAAAGTTTTTCCTATGAATACGAGACGTCACAAAGACGGCAGCACAGTGGGGTAGTTCCGCAATAAACTGAGCCAAGTGCTTCCGCACATAAAAATATCTGTCACAAGCCTCCCCGTCCGGCCGCTTGGCAGCGCTAGTGGTACCATGGAGCTGCAAGGTTTATGTAAACGATCTAGTTTGATAGGGTTATCAGTAATGCCATAGTTAACACGTTCACTGCCACTACAATTTTTTTGAAGTTCATAGCGATGCCACCCTATAAAGCCACGTGGACACGCCAGGCGTGTCGGCGGCACTGCATCTTGTTAAACATGGACACGCTAGGCGTGTCCAGTGGCACCTCGATGGAGTTAAATTCTAAATCTGTTTTTTTTCGGTTTAGCGATGAGTATTAGTTAGTTTGTCAATCGCTGAGCAAGAATACAGGTGATTTGAAATACGGTAGTGAGAATTTACCTGGAATTATGGCTGAAAATAGAAGTTTAGGTAAGTAATTTTCGTAATTTTGTAAGAGATCATAAACATTTTGTGGTTGTTTTGAAATATTTCATAATATTAACTTAGATAAGTCAATTATTACAAGTTTACGGAACGATACCTATTTTAGTTGAAGATAGCATACTTATTTAACAACAATAACAAAATGTTTCATAAAATACTTATGTTTGCCATAATTTTCTCCCCTATACTTTTATTTCATTAAATATGAATTGCCAAAAACTACAAAAAAATGGGGGTAAGGGAGGCCGAAACCGAAATACATGCAGCCGGCTGCATGGCTGCGAGTAACAGAATAAATGAAAATAGCAAATAAATATTATGAGCGGGGACGATTATGGAAAACAGTATTAATACAAATGATGTTTTGGCAAACAAAACATTACTCTCCTAAATGGTAATTTATTTAATAAAACGATTTTTAAACGGCTTAACTCGCGTATATTCCTTTCGTTTCAGTGTTCGCGGTCGCAAGCAGACCACGATCCCTGAAAAAATTTCGCAACGATTTTTATGTCTAGTGCTCGCGCAAACCTAAGACATTATTATGGTAATTTATATACTTAATCGTAATACCTAGTATATAATATTTGTTTTACTGCAGATAATCAGGAAGAATGCTATGATAACTATCCTGAATGTAGTCAAGCATTATTTACGGAAGCAGATGATCACCTGGAAGATAACCGTAAAGAATATGAAAGTTTTCCGGAATGTAGTCAGTCAATATTACAAAACTTTCCATTGAAAAGGAAATTTGAAGGTTCACGTACTTGTCTAGACACAGAATCAACAGACAATAGCTTTACACTGTATTTTGTTTTTTTTTTCATATAGAAGAATAGTTAAAATTATTAACGAGCGAATAACAGTATAATACCTACGGTTTTAACAGTACGGTTATTAATCATACTAGTTGTTTGTTTACCGGTCGTAGGTACCTACTGTAAATTATTTTGTACATTATTGGTCTGACAGAGGCAACGCGAGTTCACACAGTAGTTATCTTTCAGTCCTACTCGCCTTTTTATTTCTTGGGCTTCTACTTACTTGACATTCAATTAATTATCTTCATATTTTATTGATTTTTGTTCAAAGGTTGACAACTCCTTAAAATGGACACGCCTGGCGGGTTCTCGGCATTACATAATCACTTTAAAAAAATATATATTTTTTAAGAGATTTTTCTGGGGGCCACCTCAAAAATCATTAGGTTATTGCTAGCGAATTATGTACTGAGAATTCCAAAAGGCAATTTTGGCTAATTTTCGAAATATCACTGAAACATTTAGGACACGCCTGGCGTGTTCGAGGCGTAGTTATAGAAATTCGTAAGAACACGCTTGGCGTGTCGGCGGCATTGAACGTGTTAAATTCTCATATTTTATAATACCCTAAAAATACAAAATGTATTTGAAAATATAAAGATAGGAGTCGACCGAGTAGTGGGAGCATAGACCAAGCTACCAGTGGTTAGGGCTCCAGAAACAGAAACCTTATTACAATGCCGTTTCAAGTAGAATTTCTTATCAAGCCCTTCTGTATCAAGCCCTTGACCCAACTGCTTAACGCCTGCCTTCTAAGATAGTTGTCGAGGGATAGGGATAAGAATTAACGATAGGCCATAGCCATAGGCCGAGACGAACATTGGAACGATGATAGCAGAATCCACAATTCACATGTCGACATCCTGGTGAGCCAAATCATGATATTTTATTTGTTTATCTTTTTTAGCTTTCATGAGGTTCTCATCATTGGGAATAGTGACATCGATTATCATAGTGATATATTATAGTTAAATTATTATTATAAAATTACTTCAAAGGTTGGATATTGTTTAACATACTTAACATAATGCTTTTTAACCATGAGGGTTGGGACGCCTTGAAAGATTGCTGGGCTTCCGGCTCGAAGAGCAAAAGTAGGAACGGGGTAGTATTTAGTCAGTAAGTGTCAGACAATCGAGAATCAAGTGGTGGCTCGGAGGTCTAAGACGCTTCTCATGCATGAGGATGTGGCTTCGAAATCTACCAACAGCAAGTACCAATGTGACTTTATCCGAGTCGTATGTACTTTCTAAAATTATTTAGACAAATGGTGAAGGAAAACATTGTGAGGAAACCTGGACTTAAAATTTCTAAATTATAAGTTTGAAATCGCCAACCTGCATTGAGCAGGCGTGGTATAAATTGCTCAAAACATTCTCCGTTTGAGAAGGTTTGAGCAGAGGTCTTTGATCAGCAGTGGTCACTTTATAGGCTGGTGATGTTGATGAAGAGCCTGACACTCCCTCTCGCCTCAGCCAAGGCAGGAAAAGTCATTGGATGATTTTTCACACGCAACAAAAAAAGGGTAGGTAGAGTAAGTAACACTTATTGTTTACCAGGTGTGCTACCTATGAGTTCTATTAAGGGTTAATTTTCGTCACATTGTGGAAAATCTCCACCTATGGTATTTTGACGGACCCAGGAATTAAAACAATGATACCTTGTTAAGCAGCCGCACTTACGATCATCGAGGAAGAAGAAAAACACCAAATAGGAAGAAATTTGTTATATAAAAATACTGCCTTAAAGTTTTAATGACTATAATACCCAGTAATCATTGTAACAACCGAATTTTGAGGATAGTAAATGAGTGATCAAACAAAATAATAACAATGAGTGTATATATATGTATATAATTATATACCTCCTACCGTGCTGCTTAGAGGAAATACAATGCTTATTTCTTTATTTTATTTATGTACATTTTATTGTAAACCGCTCAATTAAATTATAGGAATGGATTGAACTGATAGATTTTTAAATATTTCACAAAATATTAATTGTACAGTATAATTTCCCCGCGCGTACGGCACGTCACGTTCCGCGCGTGTCTCAAAGAGCCGTCAGACCACCACAGATGGGGCCCAGTAGAGCTGATGTCCGATACGGAGCCACGGAAGGCCTAGCGGGTGGCTGAAGCAGGAACAGTGTGGTTTTTAGTCAGTAAGAGTCTGACACTCCCTCTCGCCTTCCCCTCTCAAAGAAAACCGTACAATTTTTGCGACAACCCTAACATCTATAATAGTATTCTAAATTATTCTAAATATAGGGCTACATTATGTAATGACGATCCATTAGTAATAGGACAAAAAGTTTATTTAGTTGCATTTCGTTTTTTAAATATTAATTGAGTTTTAGATCGCTTTTTCCCTACGTTTTCAATTAATCTATAAATCAATATAAGTCAGTATATTAAGTTATCTAGGGTTGTATGCAAATTAGTATTTAAATCTGCTTACCTAAAACACAACAACAGACAAGTTCCAAATACCAGTCATTGCCTAACTAACATCATTGTAAGTCTAGATAGTCAAAGTCTAAGATAGTCAGAGATGCTGAACTTGGTTTCCATAGTCAGCATATCGGCGGACTGCCTTTGAAGCAATAATTAAATTGCATCGTCTCCTTACAACCATGTTGCGGCCCCGGTTCAATGGACAAACTTTATCGCTAACCGACTTAAGATCTCTGTGAGATGGTTAGATGCAAGTCTTCTCACAATGTATGTATTGCTACAGTTTTGGAGTTGGGAGAGAGTCCGCAATTATTATATATAAAATAATCTATGTCAAAATTATACGCATAACATAAAATCACATAACATAAAAATTCCTATTACATATTTGTAATCACGTCTTAATTTGATAACGACAAATATATTTAATAACAAATAGAAATGCAACAATTTTTTTTAATGTTGAAATATTTCTATTATTAAAGTAAAAATGGAAGACTATTACTGGAAAATCGTATATATTTTACTAATTGATATTAGATACTATCATAAAGCTGATGAGTTTGTCTGAACACACTAAGTGTAGGAGAGCCACGCTTCGGCACGAACGGGCCGGCTCGACCGGAGTGATACCACGGCCTCAGGAAAACCGACGTGAAACAACGCTTTCGTCGTGTGAGTGAGTTTACCGGAGGCCCGGGTAATTGCCGCCCCCCCCCTCTCCAGTCTCCGCAATCCCCGAATTCTGCACAATCTTCAAAATACCAATCCCCAAACGGCCGGTAACTTACTTGTAACGCCTAGGTGTTTCAGGTGTCCAAGAGCGACGCCGATTGCTTACCATTAGGTGATTCGTCTGGTCGTTTACCGGCTTATGCCA